AAATAAAACTTTTACTTATACAAAGAATAATTTTTTATGATTAAAGGGAGCAAAAAAATTTTAGTATTTTGTTTGAAATAAAAATTTGTTTAGATTAAATATAATAAAAGTATAAAAAAAATTATCTAAAAATAATATTAAAGTTTAAAATTTTTTAAACATTTTAACCATATAAATATTATCACATAAAAATATTTATAAAAATTTAAGCATATTAAATTAACAAAAAAAAAATGGTAGAACTTGAATCTTGAAATCTAAAAATTTAGTTGGAGGTCTCTTTGTTATTCAAACTAAAAATGCATTAATAATATTATGATATGCATCCTTGTTTGGTACCTTTCATCCCCAATTATAGAAGATTACAAGTGATGAGGAATCAATGGTGCACCAATGGGGATTTTACGCATTATATACCTATTGTTCTGTCAATAATGAATATTCTTATTCTCTTACCATATATTTAGTCCAGAATTAGTGTTGTGAGCACATTTCTCAATTATTAACTTTTTTTTATATTTAAAAGTTTTAAAATTTTAAATTTAATTACTAAAATTAAATATTAAATATTTTATCAATAAATCATACGCCAAACTAGCTGTTGGTAATATTAACTTCTAAAGAACACGCTCACAATTTAATGCATTTCTTCAATACTCTAGGGGATTCTGCTTTCTATGATATATAATATATATTGTGAATATATATGCAATATGACATGCCTATGTATGTATAAGGCATAGATGAAAAAAAAAAAGGGAAAACATATCATTATGGGACCATGATGAAGAGTTTTATATATAGAATACCTCTAATATTCCTTCAAAAATAATAAATAAATCAATAATTTAATTGCATGTGATGGGATGGGTTGGTTTTATTCTTTTCTTAGATTAAATTTCTATTGCATTAAATCATGCAATATGTTTTCTGTTTCTTGCGACAAAGTTAAAAAAAACACACACACACACACAAAAGATAAAGATATAAACAAAGATTTGAAACCCTCAAAACGTTTCACATCTAACCATCCATCTCTTATCATATATACATATCTAATGAGTACACAGTGAAAATAAACTCTACACATCACACGTCCCCTCCCCACCACTTTCTTATCATCACATAATGCTGCTGTTGTCTATGGATACATATGATAGCTTAGCTAGATTGGTTCTTTAACCTCCCTGCATAGCCCAAGGGGTCCTATTTCTCTATATCTCTGGGCATTTTTATGTTGAATTCTTCCTTAATTTTGAACCTTTTTTGGTCTCTAGCTGCACTTAATTTTAAGTCAAGGGAAAAGAAACTTTGCAAAGTCCTGTCATGCTTTTCCACAGCTTTCTTGAACTTCTCTCCTTCATAATTTGCTTTCTAAGCTGCTGTTTTGGTAAGAAGTTGAAGAAAGCTGTGGGACAATATGGCAAAACGAGGACTTAACTTCTTTTCAGTTTGATTTTGATAGCATTTACCTCACTCAATATTTGTGATTTCTTGCCATTCCTGCAGCATGGGATTTTTCCCTTCTATGAGTCGACAAGGTCAAGGTCTCAGGCGCCGGCTTCACCAATGGTTTCTTATTAAAATTTTCATTGCTGCACTCTGGTATATGGTGATAATAACATGAAACCAGTCAACATCTAAAACTATTAGTTTGACCTAGTAAAATTTCTGCCACAATATTGATAACATATGGTTAATCTAATTTTGTTAATTCACAACTTTTGTTTAGTGTTTGCTTTTGCATTATAATAGGCCTGCAGCAGCTATTGCAATAATGCTTGAGTAACTTAATAACCCTAAATTAAGTTTCTATTGGTTTTTGCTGAAATTCTTTCTTAAAATTGATTGTGATTTGAGAATTGAGACTACTGGTCTTCTCTCCTGCATTTCATTCATGCTGGTTTTTTTACAATATATATAGAAATCATCATGGTCTTTAATTAATTAATATATACATACATATATAATTCCTTGTGTGGATTATTTACATATTTTTATTTCAATTTTTTTCAAGTAAGCACCCAATAATGCATTTTAGATGGTTCTTGTATATTATCCCTGGAAAATTTAGCTGTATTTTTCAATTTGGGAGTGCAATTCTTACCAAACTAATACTATATATTATAAGGAAATTGAGGATATATTGAATTTTTTTAAGATGCACAAAAAAAAATTGATATATTGCATGTTAAATAGCTATTTACTGTTGTTAAAGTTGTTTCTCAATATATGAGGAAATTGATTATAGGAAAATATTTCAGTCTAATGGCAGTTCTAATGAAAAGAACTTTAGAATGTTAATCCAATATTGTCTACTTTCTTATTACCTGCATTTCTATTTCCTATATATTTGTTTCAATCAAACTGACAACATTATGCTTCTAGTTTTACACGTATCTGCATTAGAGAGATGATTGCTAGGTTTTACGACTTAATTAGAAACTTTATAATTTTTTAACTTAAGATTATTATAATTTAAATTTTAATCACTGAAATCAATAATTCAGTGCTCTACCAATAGCTAACGCAGCTATTGGCATTATAAACCTTATATAATTAATTGGGTACTTTTATTCTCCTTTCTATTTTTTTTTAATCTGATGAATTATTAGTGCTCAGTTTTTTTGGAGTGAAGCAGAAAAGGGATATAATGCATTTACAGTATATCGTATGTTGTTTGCTGGCTCTTTCTTTTACAATTTTTTTTTTTATTTTGAAGATTTTATCTTACTAATATGCAAAGTTGAAGGAGATATTTTCTGACCATCCAAACAGATTGGCCAACAATTTTTTTTTTTGTGTGCTGCAGAGATTCCTTCACATTATTTTTTTTTTTCTTCCATGATAACATATGTAGTTGCTCCTTTCTGTACTTGATTATTTTTGTTTTATTGTTGAGTTTCGAAACCTTAGTCATGTCAGAGATGACAAGGGGATAATATTTGTCTGCACATTTTTCTGGTGAATTTGGACCCTATCTCATATTCGTCTGAAGTATGAACCCTGCTGTAGTAACATCTATCAATCATTTGTTTGGTTGCTGTACACTCTAGAGATCTAGGCCAAGAAGGAATGTGACAATATATTATTTCAAATTAACAATTAATGTTAAATTTTTTATTTGTTTCTATGGGAAAACATCAATTGAGGTAAAAAAAAAATTAAGTGAATATAAAATTACATAAATAAATTAAATTAAATTAAATTTAAAATTTTTTTCAATACATTTTAGTAAATAAATATTTGATGTATTATTAATATACTGATTTTATATATCATCAATAATCAAATGATATTATTTTATTAATAAATAAATATTAATTTTTAAAATAAATATAAAAATTTTATTTATTAATGAAATAATATCATCTGATTCATTAATAATATATAAAATTTTTATACTAATAATATATTAAATGTATACTCAAATTAATATATATTGTATCTTACCATTGGTTCAAAGTGATTTTCTCATAATAATAAGCTGGCTTTAGTTATGTCCCTAGCAAACAAAATCAAAAGCCCTACCTCATTTAAAAAAAACCCCTCATATATAGCTATTATTTGCCTTTTTATAAGACTTTGTTGAAATGCTACTTTAAGAATAGAGTTTGAAAATTTGGGTGGATGTTTGAGGTGGTGGTTTTCAATTGTATTCCCTTTCATCTTTGTTTCAAGAGAAGATGCCTGAAGCCTTGGTGCGTTCGAAGGAATGATCTCTTGATTTAATGAGAGTTTTTCATTTTATTGATTTTTAGTGAAGTTAAAAGTAGAGGTGTAAATAATATATTAGTATTCATAAAATTTTTGGATTCGATTAGAATAAAACTTAAATTCGGTTCGATTATTATTAAGTGAAATTTGAATTTGAGTAATTTGATTTATCAATCGAATCGAGTTTGAGTATTTTTATATCCAGTTTAAGTAACTCACAAATGTAATCGAGTTTTTATATTTAATTTTTTATTATTTTAATCAATAAAATATCTTCAATTCAAGTTTAAACTCGAGCATAAATAATCGAGCTCTTTCGAATATAAGAATCGAGCTTATTTTAACATATTAATCGAACTTAATCGAACGAGTTTGAGTAGCTCAATTTTCGATCATGAATCGAGCTTGAGTTAGAAAAATGAAACTCGATCGAATTCGAACCTCAAATTAGGAGCCGAGCTCAAACTTCTCATTGTATCGATTTGATTCGATTACATTCTTAATTAAAAATATACGTTTATTCATTTTGATTTTATCGATTTTTATATTTATGATAAAAATTCATTGGAAAGTACAAAGCAAAAAAGTTTCTAACCTGAAATAAATATAATAAAAGATGTATTATAAGTGATTTAAAAAAAAATAGTGAAAATGAACAAAATTACACAAAAACGTCTCGAAACTTTACTTGATTCAAGCTCATGAGATTGAAACGTTCGTACTATACATAAATTAATTAAAATTCAAATATATTTACACATTTTAAAGGTATAAAAATATGAATTTTAAACTTTTAAATATTTATAAAAAAATTCACCTCTAAAAATGCACCTAACAAATTTATAAAATTAAAAATAATCATGTAAATCTTGTTTACATGTGTTTTTCTCATCATTTATATTAAATTTGAAATTTAAATCTTTTTCTTTCAAACTGAAGTTCCTATTTTAATTTATTTGTTTTTAAAAATTTCTTTGTTTGGATAAAAAAAAAGTGGTTTTAAATAAAACACTTTAGATTATGGAAACTAATTTTATAATTTGCGTAAATGAAATGAAGCACCTCCTCCTTACTTGGTGACGTCTAATTGGTCCTTAACTCTCCCATTATAAGCTATCCGTCACTGATGACGAAACCTCCCCAAATCAATCAAAACAAGTAAAAAAAATAAAAAAATAAAAGGAACGGTCAAGATTAAGTCAAGGAGTTGGGTGGGCTGAATATGATACATGAAAATACGATAGAACCGCCTCCACAGTATAAATACAATTGGACCTGGAGACTGGAGTCCATATCCAATCACGACTTTTTCTCCTCGAATCTCTTTCCTTGTATAAATTAGAGATTTTTATTTATTCAATTTTTAGCCCTAGCCACAGCCCTAGGTCCAATTCCAATTTAGGGTTTTGTTTTTCTCTCACCGAACGAAAAAAAGCTCTAAACTTCAAAGCTCTAAACTTTTTGCCTTTGGTTGCTCCAGCCCAATTAACCATCTTTCTTCTTCTCCTTCGTCTTCCTCCTTTGCGCTTCCCTCTGTTAAGCCAAATTCAAAATATTATTTTTTAATTCCTTCAGTTTCAGAAAACAAGGAAACTGAATCTATAACCTCTGTTTTGGATCTGCTTTCAGGGTTTTGTCCGTGAAACAAGGTATGGTTTCTTTAATCCTCGATTTATATGTTGGTTTTTGTTTATTTCTATGTAATTTTGTGTTTTGAAGGCTTATTTTGGCTTTTTGGATCTGGCGGTTATTGAAAGTGATAGATTGTTTTTTTCGAGGTTTTTGATTCTTGGTGTTCGTGGGTTTCGCTCAAAATCCATGTTCTTCGTGGTTCTTATATTCCTTTTCCGTTTCTCTAGCTATGGGGTTTGTATTTTTTGCCTCATGTGCATCTTTTAATCAGTTTTTCGTTTTTTTTGCAAATAATAGTTTAGTGTAATTGCTGTTTCGGCGTTGTTTGTCTGGGTTTTATTTGTTTGTGAGGGACTTATAGATTTCTTGTTTATGTAGCAATGAATTTTCATTGAAGGTTGGGGCTCCAATTCTTTATTTTTTTTATTTTTTTGTAAAACGCGGAAGAGTGAAGGAGGTTTTATTTTGCTCATTAAATCCTTTGAGAAACAGTCGTGTTTGGTTGCCCTGTTTTCTTGGGGTTTCTCATTTCTCAATTTATAGTCAAACGACGGTTAAGGTTAAGCAGAGAGTTTGTCTTTGTCTTTGGGTTGTGGGAGCTGTGGATCGTTTCTCTTCGGCTGGATCGTACTTTAATTCTGTTGCTTATGCATATCCACTGGGCTTCCAATCCATAAGGGTAGCCCATCAACTGGGCAATTCAATATGTTGTACTGGCGCAGTTTTAGTTGTATAAAAGCTGTGGTTTGATCTTGCCAAATAGCAAACAAAAGGAGTAAGAAGGGGAGCCACGGTTTTGGTATTGGGAGTTGTGTGTTTTTTTGTGTATTTAAATTGTATTTTGATATCTAGAAGTGGGAATAAACTGGTCTGTTTTAGGCATTGCGGCTTTGAGTTACTTGAATGTGAAGTGTCTTGACTTGGAGCAAGCACGGTTTCTAAATTTTCTTTGTACTCATGTATGTAAGCATTTCTGCAGCTGCCAAGACTGTTCACCTGTATTGACAATATGATCTATCCATTTCTAGTTTACACTTTGTTAAAATTACTGATAGAAAATTTAAAATTCTGGGTGTCTATCAAGTCCCAACTATTTTATTTCTGGCTAAAATGCTTCTTCTTGTTTATGGTAGAATCTTGAAGGCTTATTGAATTTTAGGTTTGGCTTAGAATCATTTTAAGATTTTTAGTTACCTGGAATGTTAGAATTTTGATCCTCTAATTAATTTGCACAATAATACTTTTCCCCTGTTGTTGAGCTCACTGAATTTGAAGTGTTAGTTTGTGTTACCTTTCAACATTCAATTGCGCATTCTTCAAGGCCATCTCTTAATAATGTCCAGGCTACTCTTATCTATGTCAGGATTATAAAAACTAGTTAACACATGAGCTTCTGGTTTGTTGTTTTGTAAATATCAATAACTGTTGTCTTATAGAGGAAAACCTATTACCCATCTGAGATATCGGAATGGAGATGTCTAGGAAGCTATCTTTGTTCTATGAGTTTTGACACTAATGTGAATATCAAAACTTTACTTGGATATGAGCAATCATTATGTTTTAGTTTTATTTCTGTACTAGAAAATGTTGTCTTCATGCCATGTGCCTTGTGTTGTTTCATTGACATTTTGTGTATAATCTATGCAAATGAGAACTTATCATCTGTTGTGTCTTCTGTATTTCAGGACTGAACATTGAGATGGAGACTGCAATCATTCCTGCTACCACACCTGTTACACCTATTACTCCTACTGACAACAATGAGCCACTTGGTTCTGAAGCACAGCCCAATAAACGTAGGAGGAAGAAGTCTATAGTCTGGGACCATTTTACTGTGGAGACTGTAGGAGATGGATGTATCAGGGCCTGCTGTAATCAGTGCAAGAAATCATTTGCATACATTACCGGTTCAAAGCTAGCTGGTACTAGCCACCTCAAAAGACACATTGCATTGGGAATCTGCCCTGTAAGCCGTCAGAGAAATCAACAGACACCAGACTCTAAAACTGGTAATGCTACTGATGAAACAAGGAAAAGACACCGAGCAACTCCTGGATTTGCAAACATCCCTTTTAACCAGGAACGCTGCAACCATGAGATAGCTAAGATGATCATAATGCATGACTATCCGCTCCACATTGTGGAACACCCTGGTTTTATTGATTTTGTGCGGACTCTTCAACCCAAGTTCAATATGGTGAGCTTCAACACTATTCAAGGAGATTGTGTTGCTATGTACCTGAAAGAGAAGCAAAGCCTTCTCAATTTTATCAGTGAAATTCCTGGAAGGGTCAGCCTTACATTAGATTTGTGGATTTCAAATCAAACCGTGGGCTATGTTTTCCTAACTGGACAATTCATTGATACTGAATGGAATTTGCATCGCTGCCTGCTTAATGTAGTCATGGTACCTTCTCCTGATTCAGACAGTGGCGTTACAGCAAGCTGTTGTTTCTTGCCTATCTGATTGGCATTTGGAGAACAGGCTATTTACCCTCACTCTTGATCAGTCCTTCTCAAATGAAAATATAAATGGAAGTCTTAGAGCTCTATTTTCCCTCAGGAACCCTTATATGCTTCATGGTCAGTTATTGATAGGAAATTGCTTTGCTCGTGTTATAAGTCTTCTTGCACAAGAGTTGCTATGGACTGTGGGGGAAACTGTGAAGAAAATCCGAGAAAGTGTCAAGTTTGTGAAAACTTCAGATGCTCATGAAGAGACATTTTTTCATCTGAGGGAACAACTCAAAGTCCCTAGCATGAAAGACATATTCATTGATGACCAAACAAAATGGAACACAACATATGAAATGTTGGTGGCTGCCTGTGAACTAAAGCAAGTATTTCTTTGCTTGGAAACCTCTATTCCTGATTATAAGATAGCCCCATCAATGGATGATTGGAAGCAAATAGAAATTCTCTGCACATACTTGAAGCTTTTCTTTGATGCTGTCGGCATTTTAACTGGCCCAACATACCCAACTGCCAGTGCATTCTACCATGAAGTGTCAAAAATTCAGTTAGAGTTGACGCATGCAGCAATGAGCAATGACCCCTTCATCAGCAACTTGACCAAACCTTTGAAGGAGAAGTTTGATAGATACTGGAGTGGCTGCTTCTTAGTTTTGGCTATTGCTGTGGTAATGGATCCAAGATTCAAAATGAAACTTGTTGAGTTTAGCTTCTCCAGGATTTATGGTGAGGATGCTGGAATGTGGATTAAGATTGTTGATGATGGTATTCATGAGCTCTACCTTGAATATATTGCACAAGCGCTTCCTCCACCTGAAACATTTGCGGAAGAACAGAATGAGAGCATCATCCCTGAAGGGAACGGGGGTATCATCCCCAAAACTGAACCCCCTGAAGAAGGATACCTTCAAGAGGGACCCCCTGAAGAAGGATACCTTCAAGAGGGACCCCCTGAAGAAGGATTCCTTCAAGAAGGACCATCTCAAGAAGTAGCTCATCAAGAAATATCCCATCATGAAGTAGCTCATCAAGAAGTATCCCATCATGAAGTAGCTCATCAAGACGAATCCCATCATGAAGTATCTCATCAAGAAGTACCCCATCTGGAAGTAGCCCCTCAAGAAGTACCTTCTCAAGATCCCCTTATTTCTATTGGAGATGGACTTTCAGATTTTGAGGTCTATATCTCTGAGATCGGTGGTAGCCAACAGATGAAATCAGAATTGGATCAATATCTTGAAGAGTCTCTTTTGCCTCGGGTACAAGATTTTGATATTTTGGGCTGGTGGAAACTAAACAAGACAAAGTACCCTACTCTCTCGAGGATGGCTTCTGAAATTATGTCAATACCATTTTCTACTGTTGGTCCCGATTCAGTGTTTGACACAGAGAGGAAAAAGATGGATAATTACCACAGTTCATTACGCCCAGTGACGCTTGAAGCTCTTATTTGTGCAAAGGATTGGCTTCAGTATGGAGCATCAGAGAGTTCCAGTCCACCTGTGAAGATGGAATTCTAGGTGTAGATTTCGTTTTCATCTTTTACAGGATACAGTAGTTAGGTCTCTTTGTGGTGTCTTATGTCATTATAAATCCTCTTCCCCTTCAACTTTTCATGAGATGTTATATAGGATTCAAATTAGCTACTCATGGAATTGACAACATTCTTGGATTCAGTGAATCAATGCCTTAGATTCACATAATTTTCTATGAATGTGTTTTTAAGCTCCTTTCTTTTGGATGCATCTCTTTCCTTATGGTATAACGGATATTTTGATGTAACTTGTTTAAAATTCGTTGAGTAATTGGCAGCTTGGGCACAACAGCCATTTTGAAACCTTCTTCAGTTGTCATGCCAAAGCTCGTTGGTCATCACCATGCAAAAGAGATGGCCGTGGGAGTAACCTACTAACCTTCAGGGGCGGGGCAGGAAGGTATATTTCACAGGTGAAATTACCCCTTCGCCCTTTTAGCTAATGGCTTCGTATATGGTTTTATAATTTATCTTTGGTAAGTTGTTGTCTATTGCTCTTTACTTTATTGTTTCTTCTTAAGTTAAGAAAGGAGGCAAGGGAATACATACAGATATCAGTGAAGATTAAGTCAAAGTATACTTTTTTATACTATTTGTTTCTCTGTTTGACATTTTGCTGTAAATAAAAGCAAAAACTGCTATGTGCCCCCCAAGATAGCAAATACTGCCAATTATTACTTGATATAAATCGTCAAAAAATTACTGCATGCGGAAGCAAATGTTTCGTTGATCATAGAAGACTATATATATATATATTTCATACTTTCGATAATTAGAATCAAGAAAGAGAATTGCTACTAAATGGAGATGCTTGGATTTTAAAATACTGAATAGAATTTTTTTTCTCCTCCTTATCACTCAGCACCAGTGGTCTAGTGGTAGAATAGTACCCTGCCACGGTACAGACCCGGGTTCGATTCCCGGCTGGTGCATATGTGAAGCCGTGATGATAGTTGCGCTTTCGTGATGGTAGGGTCCGTCACAATCGCCTGATCACCAGACGAGACAGCAGCGCTTCTGAGCTTCATCACCTCTTTTCTTTTCCCTCCAAGTTTTTGATTTTTGATGTTAACTTGAGAATTGAAATGCAATGCAAAGCAGTGCAATGCTTATGCCAATTTCAAGGACCCATTTTGTCAGAACACTCAAAATCTTCTGCAAATATTACTCTTCAATCCTTAACAAAAATGCGATCTCCACCATGGCTTCTTCTACATCGCTTTCCTACACTTCCCGTGACCTTGACCCACCCTTCTTTATTGGAGAAACCTGCAAATCCATGGACCAACTCAAACAAATCCACTGCCGAACCATCAAAATAGGCCTAACAAAACAACCCATTTTCCTAAACAAAATTATTTCCTTTTGTTGCATCAATGAATCAGGTGACATGGATCATGCACTTAAACTGTTCAATCAAATTCCTGAACCAAAAAGTGTCTTCCATTGGAACACAATGATCAAAGGTTATTCTAGGATAGATCGTCCAAAACATGGGATTTCAATGTATTTAGACATGTTAAAACGGAATGTTAAGCCTGATAATTTCACTTTTCCTTTCCTGTTAAAGGGTTTTAACAGAAATGTTGGGTTTTCATGTGGGAAAGAGTTGCATGGTCATGTGGTGAAATTTGGGTTTGCTTCTAATGCTTTTGTGCAGAATGCTTTGATCCATATGTACTCTTTGTGTGGACAAATGGAAATAGCACGTGCGGTTTTTGATATTAGTTGTAAAATGGATGTGATTACTTGGAATGTGATTTTAACTGGATATAACAGAGTGAAGCAATACGATGAAACTAGTAAGCTTTTTCGCGAGATGGAGAAGAATGGACTGATACCAACTTCGGTTACTTTGGTTTCTTTGCTATCAGCTTGCTCTAAATTACGAGATTTGGAGATAGGTAAGCGGGTTCATAAGCATATCAAGAAATGTGAGATAGAGCCTAATTTGATTCTGGAAAATGCTTTGATGGATTTGTATGCAGCTTGTGGAGAAATGGATGTAGCAGTTGGGATTTTCGATGGGATGAAAACGAGGGATGTGATTTCATGGACTACTATAGTTTCAGGATTTGTAAATAAGGGAGAGATTGAATTGGCTAGAAATTATTTTGATCAGATGCCGGAAAGAGATAATGTTTCATGGACTGCAATGATTGATGGGTACATCAGAGTGAACTGTTTTAAAGAGGCTTTGGTATTGTTCCGCCAGATGCAAGCTTCGAATATAAGACCGGATGAGTTCACCGTGGTGAGTATTCTTACAGCTTGTGCTCATTTGGGGGCATTACAAATAGGAGAATGGATAAAGGCTTATATTGACAGAAACAAAGTCAAGAATGATGTCTTTGTTGGAAATGCTTTGATTGACATGTACTTCAAATGTGGAAGTGTTGCAAAAGCTCAAAGAGTATTTTCTGAAATGCCTCGGAGGGACAAATTTACATGGACAGCCATGATTGTTGGTCTTGCTATTAATGGGCACGGTGAAGAAGCTCTAGGTATGTTCTCTGAAATGCTAAGAGCTTCAATAAAACCAGATGAGATAACTTACATTGGCGTTCTTTGTGCCTGTACTCATGCTGGCATGGTAGATGAAGGAAGAAAGTGTTTTGCTAGCATGACGACAGAACATGGGGTTGAACCCAATGTAGCACACTATGGGTGTATTGTTGATCTTCTAGGCCGAGCTGGACATCTGCAAGAAGCTTGTGATGTTATAAAGAATATGCCAATGAAACCAAATTCAATTGTTTGGGGAGCTCTTCTTGGTGGTTGTAGAGTTCATAAAGACGTAGAAATTGCTGAAATGGCAGCCAAACAGATACTTGAGTTAGACCCTGAAAATGGGGCTGTTTATGTTCTGCTGTGTAATATATATGCATCTTGCAAAAGATGGGATAGTCTGCATGAACTTAGAGAATCAATGATGGATAGAGGAATCAAGAAGACCCCAGGCTGCAGTTTGATAGAGATGAATGGAGTAGTTCATGAATTTGTTGCCGGCGACCGGTCACATCCTCAATCTAAAGAAATATACTTGAAGTTAGATAATATGACAAGTGACTTAAAACTTGCAGGGTATTCTCCTGATACTTCTGAGGTGTTCCTTGATATAGCGGAGGAGGATAAAGAAAGCACATTGTACTGGCACAGTGAGAAGTTGGCTTTGGCTTTTGGGATGATTAGCTCTGGACCAGGGGTTACAATAAGGATTGTGAAGAACCTTAGAATGTGTGTAGATTGTCACCGTGTGGCAAAACTAGTGTCAACGCTGTATGATAGAGAAGTGATAGTTAGAGATCGAACGCGATTCCATCATTTCAGGCTTGGCTTATGTTCATGTAAAGATTATTGGTGAGAATTCAATAGTACATAACTAACAATTCTTTTCCTGAGGTGTATTTGATGCCAATGAATAATACAGATTAGGGCTTCCCTTCCCCAAGTGCAGGCTAGTCCAGTCAATTTCAGAGACTTTGTTCTACAATTATCTTGTACTTTTGCTATATATTGCAAATAGATTATTAGGGACTCGCAGTATTTTGCATCAGGTCTGTAGTTATTTTGAAAATCTTTTCCGTCAGTGTTCTTGACAAGTGTGCTGCGAGTGCCTGTATAGTAGTATAACCAGAAGTAATTTTCATAAGCTTCCAGGATAATTGTCATCTTTCTTTTGTTATTTTTTTCGAGACGGCACGTGTGAGTTCCTGCTGTGCTTGGGACATTCACATGTTTCAGAAGGCCTAGTATTAAACTCTCCCTTCAAATATTGTAACTCCAAGTACTTGCCTGGTATGATTGAACCTTGAGGAGAGTTGCAAGCTCTAAAGCGCTTACTCTTTATACTCTTTCACTGTTCCATTTAAGGAGGCCCTAAGCTATTACCATGTGGTAAACTGAAGCTTCCGGCTTGATAATGAACATCTAACTCAATGAGGAAACAATCAAATGCAAAGCTATTAAAAGTATTTCCCAAATGCAGGATTGTGTTTTCATCACATTCACATCTCTTCTGTCTCATTCAGAAGGGTACTTGAAGAGTTTAGTAAGAATTGGAATATTTCTAATCTTGTACTCAAGATACATTACAAATGCTAAAATAAATTGTACTTCAAATATTCTATCAATTTCAAAATTGCTTTGATATATAACATGGACTGCAGGCTGCAAGCTACTTCAAAATTACTAGTTCTGAGTTAAAAAAAAAAGACACTAAATTTATTTTTCCACTTCAAAGCAGTAAAGAAGTTATTGGTGGTAAACTGATTAACATTCAACTTGATCCTGGATCAAGTACGGGAAGCCTGCAATGTAGACTGATTGATTTATCAGTTTGACGTGTACCAGGAATGAAGAACTCAAAAATCACAGTCACACAAGCACCTTGGGGAGCAATCCCATAAAAAGCATAGTCAGGCTTCGCCAGGTGACACTGGAGGCTCCTAGAAAAGTGCCTTACACTTACTTGAACACTCTGTGCATCTCCTCTTGAGATTGCCCTCTCTAACCGAGTCTGAACACCAAGATTTCTATCCTCAGAGGGTGCTTCAGCCTGTTCTCCAACAACCAACAATTTACAAAATTCAGCACCAAGTGTGATCAAAGTTTTTGAGATTTGCACATGTAGATCTCCATACTTGCTTATAGAGACGTTTAGCAAATCGCCAACATGCTTCATCCGGTCCACAAAGTTCTGCAGTTGATTTAAATCTGGAACTTGAACCAGAGTCTGAGGTAGATCTTGTGCCATATCAAGTGCAGTATGAAGCTCAAGCACTTGAGCCCTAGATAAAGGTTTTGATATTGGTACATCCTGAATGACAGCAGACTTATAACCCTTGGTTTCAAAGGTAAGAAAAGGCATTGGCTGAGTACAATTGGGAGGCAACTTCTTTACCAATTTAATTTGGAGGCGGTTGGCAGAAGGACCATTACCAAATTCAGTACATATGCTTACACTAATCTGAACAGCACGAAGCAGAAGGGATACATCTATTGTGAAGGCAATGCGATCCTCATTCTGACTAGAGATTCGATAGTCATCAAAGAGAGCTTCCTTGCGAAACTGGGCAATGCACTGAACGCCATCGCCATTCACAAGGTTGTGTTGGAATATAGCATGGTCTCTGGTAAGAAATAAGTAGCATATCTTCCCCATTTTGTCTAAGGCCGGTAGAAACAGCCTTTCTAAGAGACTCACACCATGTTCAGTGAGAATTGAGAATGCCTTAAACTTGATCTCAACCTTCCTATTTTCTTCCTCCTCTAGAAGTAATCCAAGGTACTGCCATGGATTTGAGAGCAAAAGGGAAAAAGTCAGTCAGTTACTGCTTAGTACAACGTATTCTAGCTGATCCAAGTACCTTTCAAATTCTTCAAATAGAGTGATAAACGGTTGCTTTCATAAGGGTTATCATATCAGCTAAAATCTCATAATTATAATTACCTAAAAGCTTACAGATTGCAGAAAAAATTCAACCATAATTCAAAGGAAATACAAATTATTGCGAAACAATGACTTTAAAAAAATCAATGTACATCTTTTATATTAGGGAAGTTTATCCCAAACCCATTTTATATAGCAAATTAAAACTACCAGTTTTCCATAACACATAACATAGTCAAAATTTCCAGAAATGTGCAACAAATAGCTTAAACTCAAGAAAATGAAGAAATAAGTAATAGTATGTAAATTACTTGGAATACAATTCCATGAGTAACACTGAATCTGAAATCAATTCTTCAAACACTTTTAGCCCTTTAACCTCATGTTCGATTGCTCTGAAAATGGAAGAAAAATTGAAAAAGAAATTCCTCAAATTCGACTTTTATTATCTTTCCCGCTTGATGCAAAACTCAGAAGATTATGGATGCAAAAGAACAAGAAATATTTTCATTCACTTTCTCAGGAAAAAAACAGAGGGATTTGGGGATGGCTTACTATTGAGAAAATGAAGATCAAGCCAAAGTTGTTTAGTGCTTGAAATTCAGAGGGGAAATGGTAGAGGCCTTTATAAAAACGCCTCTTCTATTTTTTATTTTTAAAATCCTGCGTGGGCAAAAGTTGCCCTTGTTTCAATAGAAAAGGAATAATACCCTATTCGGTTCCGGAATATAGTAAAAGGTGCATTATATATTAATTTTAAAAATTTTTAATGTATTATTTTTTATAAATATATTAATAATATAATTTTCATTTTTAATATAATTAGATTTGAACATTAATTAATAAAAAAATGACAAGCGGTCATATTATCAATTTTAGTGATCCTACATGGCGTGCCATGTGTCACTGACATGTCAAATGCCAACAATTACACGGAGGGGAATTAAAGAAAAATATTTACGAAAGTTAATTAAATTAAATTTTAATTTCGTTTGTAAAATTAAAAAATTTCATGTTAGTATATAAAATAATAATCCTTTAAAATATACAATTTCCAAATTAAGAAGAAAGCATCATGACAATAAGAAAGTGGCCAAAATTAGCAAAGGTTACGGATAGCTTATAAACTCTGTACATGTTACAAGAAACGCTCAAAGCCAAAACAACGGTGGCAAATTACATGAAAGTATAAGCTTCTAGCGCACAACATTACAGATCTTGGGTCTAAAAAGTATTTACAAATGATCCTCTACAAGATGAAGCTTGCTTAATATCTGGTCTAATGCTTGAACTGTATCCTTGTAACGATCTTGTGATTTCTGGCCTTCATCAATAACCTGCATTATGCATTTGTACAGATGATCATACCTATGAACTGGGTTATTAATATCAATACCACCAGAGCTGTGATTCAGAACATAACTCCGCTTAATATCTTTTCTCCATCGTGGTAGAATGTATTGAGGTGGAATCTCATCCATGCCATTTTGGTGGAGGACGCTCAGTGCATGCCGGCACAAATATCCTCTGAAATTAAACAAACCACAACCGCAAAGCACCTCCATTTCAGTTGCATTATACAAAACCTCAAAATCACTAGTCTCCCTTCTGTTTCCATCTGCTTCTATTTGTTCCCTGACGATGTATGTTAGTACTTGTCCCTCGGCATTTATTTGTGTTGTGCTAAAACATGAGTACATTCCCTCCACCTCCTGTTCAAACTTCCTTAATATATCATTTGTGTACAATTTTGCAGGCTGCAACTCAAAACATCCTGATTTCAGCATAAAACCTGAATTTCTTGAATCTATATCTGCTAAAGCTTCCAGTTGATAATTTGCCTGTAGGGCTTGATCATACTTAACCAAAAATTCTTTCAAAGAAGTATGTCTATCGAGATAGCCATCAAAAAATGACTCCACAACCTCATTTGGCTGGGTTGGAAACTTTCCTGCAAGAAATATCTCCTTCAAATAAACAGGAACCCATCGTCTGCGATCTTCATATAATATTTGAAGCCATTCATGATCCCTAATTCCATGATGCTGGATCATATCTTCCCAAGTCGCTTCAAATTCCTCAGGCCTTAGAGTGTAATAAACTGCACTGTTTAATGCCATTCTAATTGATTCATATTCATACAGTCCACCAAGTTTCTCTGAAACTTTTTGCATTATACGTGACAAACATAGACAATGAGAAGCCCTTGGAAACACATCAGCAACAGCAGTTTGCAGGGTTCTACATTGATCAGTGATGACAACGGGTGGAGGGCGTCCTAACATGCATGTGAGCCAAGCCCTAAACAACCATGTATATGATTCGATAGTCTCACCTGCAAGTAAGCCACAACCCAATAGCACAGACTGTCCATGATGATTCACTCCAACAAATGAAACCAGCGGTACTTCATATTTGTCTGTTAAGCATGTAGTGTCAATTGCAACTACATCACCAAAGTAACCATATGCAACTCTAGACCTTGCATTGGTCCAGAATAAATTCCTCAAACATCCCTTCTCGTTGAGATCCACCACATAAAAGAAGTTTGGATCAGTCAATTGGAAGTGGCTAAAATAATTATGAACAGCTTGTGCATCTCCTTCTTTAAGCCTCAATTGATTGGATTGGTTATGAGAAGTCTGGATTTCTCCATCACTGACCTCTGCACTTCCATTTCCCTCAACATCGATAATCACTGCTCTAAAAAGCTGAATTTTTTGAACTTCTTCAGCACCATGTAACTGCAGTGCTCTTTTGGTTCCAAGACCTATTTGTTTATGGGACTTATAGAATTTCCCACTTGCAGGGCTGATCAAATGGTTATGGTCAAGCTCAACTTCTATGATTCTCCACCTTTTGTTTTCCATCAACCTGAACTTTATCATCGCAGGGCATCCAGTCCTTGTTTCTGGTCTTGGGCGGTTTGCTTCACTCTTCTTCTTGAATCCTGCACTACTGCAGCTAAGTTTGCCTCTGTATCTTTCTTTGCTCTTTCTGTACCAAGTATTGCTTACTCTAACACCAAATCCCTGTTCCTTGGCATAACAATTGTAAAAGTAATATACATCCTCATAAGAGTCAAATTCCATTCCAACAGCAGGAGGCAGCGGATTCTCTCCTTGAATTACACCACTTTGACGAATACATTCAGTCATTCCACAATCTCCTTCAATCTCAAACTCATCAGCATCATCATCAGCAACCGGATCAGTATTTAGAGAAACTTCATCCATCTGTAACAAGAGTAGAATCAAATATCCACTAATAAAAAAAAGCTAAAAAATGATAAAGTAATATAAAGCAAGCTACATTCATAACATTTTCTCACGACTTAACAGAATCACAGATACCAACTAAGAAGATAATATAGTATGGAGTTTGATGTGCAGCTAAGCTATAACATTAGGGCTGCACCATTTAACATATAACAACAGAAAAAATTCCCATCATCTAAGTCCCAAGCAGCGGATTAACTCGCTCGGACCTCCTTTTTTGCAAATTAATAACAAGGATTATCTTGAACAACCAAGAGTCCTAGGGATAAAAGCAGCATAATGGGATTAAACCCAGTACTAATTTTCCTTTCTTTTTTTTTCTTTTCTTTTCAAATACCTGGCCATCTACTCTAAAATCAAGTCATGCTTATGAGGTTCCACGTAAGAATAAACTCACAGAAACTGATGTATAGAGCAAGAACCATTAGCAAAGGAATTCTTATAGCTTAACTCACTGTGAGAACCATTTGCAAAGAACAACTCAAATTCGATTAGAACAATATGTAAAATGTATCTTAATCAACATCCAAATCCAGGTTAACCCTAAAACAAAGAGGGATAAAGAGAAAAAAAAAAAAAAAGAATGAATTGACCTTATTCAAACCATAAGTGACAGTCTGATTTAGCTTTAAAATTCTGAAAAATAGGAGGACTTACCAGAAAATTGATTCAAGAAATGATCTTTCACAGGCTTGAGAACAGAGTCAAAAGCGAAATCCTTGTTCCCAACGAGATCGGCGGAGAACAAAAGGATTTTGTGGGAAGAGACTTCACTAAGGGGAAAATTTGTTTCGAGGACACTAATACTTCCTTAATTGTATGAGGTGCCAAGTCTTTTAAAATTCTTTCATATGGGTCCTTTTAATTATCAGAAAATGATGAAAAAGGTCGGTTAACTAGACAATTAGGTTTTATAATAATTGAGTAAAACACACTAAAAAATTTTAATTATTATATTCTTAAATTTAATCTATGAGGATTATATAATAATAATAATTGTTGGGCTATTTTTTTTTATATATTTAAAACTTCCATTCCATACTAAAAAGATTATTATAGGAAAATGTTTAGCAAAGGTTTATTTGATTTTTTGGTCCAAATGTTTTAGCTACCAAGATTGTGAATGAATCAAACAAGTTTAAAGTTAAAATTTTGAGAAGTGTTCATTTAAACATATGTTTTTGAATGAAAAGAAAAAAATATATATTCATTTGTGGATAAAATTTATGGTACAATTTATTTGGAGTCATAGCAAATGGACTTTTTTTTTTTCATGTTTGGAATGCATATGGAACTATAAATTAATAAGTTAAATTAGAGCCAACTTTATTCACAAGAGTACCAGGGTTGGAAACCCTTTAGAATATGGTTAATAATGCAAATTTATGAGAAATTATATACATGCTAAGCCCAAAATGCTCTGCATAAAGGAGCAATTGAACCAAGCCTCAATGACAAAGGATGGGTTGATTAAGATAGAAGACACCAATTTTGATTTACAACAAATCCTGTACCTTCACCATGTATGTTAATCTTGCTTTTCTTCTACCTCGTGAACTCTATTCAATGACTCTTCAAAAGCTTGCAATGCAACTTTGTAATGGTCCAAAGAAATCGCCCCCTCCTCCACAACTTGCAAGGCACGTCTATATAAATGATTAAACCATTGCATGCGATCAATGACATCAACGTTATTTGAACCTTGATGCGGAACATATAAGCGCTTATAATCCTTTTTCCATCGTGAGAGAATGTACTTGGAAGGGACATCCTCCACACCATTGAAATTAAGCACACACAATGCATGTCGGCATAGATATCCGTAAAAGTTAAAGCAACTGCAAATGCATCTAACTTCACTGGCTGTTCTGTTATAAAGTACTTCATAATCCCTAATTTCCCTCCTACTTCCTTCAGTCAACACTCGCTCCTTGACCAAGAATATAATGATAGGCCCATCAACATGTAACTGTGTTGTACTAAAACAAGAATACATCTCCTCTACCTCAAATTGGAACCTCTTGAAATTTTCTTTCGTGTAAAATTTGGAGAGTCGCAACTCAAACGAGCATCTTGTTCTCAATGCAGGGCTGGATTTTCTTGACTCAATATCAGCAAGAGTTTCTTCCTTGTGCTTCTTTTGTAATGCTAATTCATACTTATCAAGAAATTCCTTCAAAGGAGTTTGTTTGTGCACGTATTTATCAAAAAAGGGACTCACGTTCTCAACAGGCCTTGAAGAAGACAGTCCAGCAAAAAATGTGTCCTTTAGATAAATGGGAGCCCACAGAGCTCGATCTTTGTATAAAGATCGAAGCCACTCATGGTCAGTGATACTAAAACGCTGGACCATAAATGCCCATGCTGCTTCAAATTCAATCACTTTAAGAGTGTTAAAAACTGCCTTAACAAATGCCCTTCTGATTGCATCATAATTACACAATCCTCCCAATTTTTCCGGAACTTTTTTCATTATGTGTAACAAACTGAAGCGATGGCTGGATTTGGGAAACACTTCTGCAATTGCATTCTGCAAAGCCTTGCACCTGTCTGTGATAATTGTTTGAGGACACTGTCCTGACACACATGTAAGCCACGCTTTGAAGAACCAAGTATAAGACTCCACTGTCTCGCCAGCAAGCAGGCCACAACCCAGTAACACAGTTTGGCCATGATGATTTATTCCAACAAGTGTGACAAGGGGAGTCTCATATCTCTTTGACAAGCACGTGTTGTCAATATAAATGACATCCCCAAAGTAGCCACAAGATGCCCTACATTGCGAATCAACCCAGAAAACATTCCCCAAATGTCCTTCATCATTCAAATCCATCAAGTAAAAGAAGTTTGGATTGGTCAACTGCATACGGCAAAGGTAGTTATAAATGGCTTGTGAATCACCCCTTTTAAGATTAAGCTGATTTGGATATTCATAAAAGTTCCTAACTTCCCTTGCATTGCTGTTTGGATTCCCATTACCCCCAGCATCTATCACTAACGCTCGATACAACTTGATTGTTCTCACTTCAGCATCAGAACTGGGTTGCAACTTCCTTTTCGATCCAGAGCCCATCTTCTTAATAGTTTTATAAATCCTGGCACCTAATAAGTGATTATGTTCATGTGTAACCTCAAGCACCCGCCATCTTTTCGACTCCACAACTCTCATCCTTATCATAGCAGGACAACCAGTTCTAGTTTCCTTTCGAAGACGGTTAACATCTTTGATTCTTTTAAAACCCTGGCTACTACAACAAAGTACAGCACCATACTTCTCTCTCCTATTCCGCTTAAACCATGAATTCTTAACCCGAACACGAAAACCAACCTCCTTAGCATAGCAATTATAATAATTATATGCATCATCATAAGACTCAAATTCCATTCCAACAGCTGGAGCAACAAATTCTTTCTTTCCTTCAGGTAAACCATTTTGACCATCAAACAATTCCGTTGTTTCACTATCTCTTTCTTTTAGACTCTCTCCGCCACACTTCCCCTCGGGCAATTGGTCATTACTAGGAGGAGCCTCTTCTCCTTCCATCTATTATACCTTTTTTAAGAAAAAAAAAAAAAGCTCAAATTTTAAACATGGTATTTAAGTAGCCTCCGGAACAGTGGGCAAAACAAAATAAATAGAAAATGGAGAAAATAAAACGAACCCACATCAAAATTTAGCTCATTAAGTAAATTATGGATGATATTATCGTTTAACAAAAGCTACAGGTCAAAATTGAGCATGTTAATCCAATTAAAATAAAGGAAAAGAAAGAGGGCTAGGAGGGAAGAAAGGGAGAGACTTAAGGCTGACCTGGGTGTGGCATGAACGTCGTCGTTCTGGTCGTGTGTCGCTGATCTGAGCCTCAAATTGGAGAAGAAGGGAGTAACAGAGGAAATGGTGGATTGGAAAACGGAAGTAAAAATAGTGGCCGGCCGAGTTTGGTTAAAAAGAAGAGCAATTTGGGTAACCCAAAAAAAGGTAAATTACTTGGGCTCAGCCTGAATCTAATAGATTTTCTTACGCTTTTGGCCCACTTGACAGCATTTTATTTTAAAGGCTGAAAGCCCGTACTTTATTCTATAATTCCATTCAGCTTATGTACAAGATAATAAAATTACTTTATTGCTTCTACTCTAAATTAAATTTATTTATTATTTTTTTGCAAATGAGGTCACGGATAAACAAATATCATCTCTTAAAAAAAATTGCAATAATCAAATTAAACTTTGAAATCTACATTTATTTATTATATTAAAAGAGCTTTTGATGTATGTTATTTATTACATACAAAAGATATTTAGTGCCATAAATTATTGTTTTAATAAAAATATATAAATATCTTACTAAAAAAAATCTATAATTTATTAAAAATATCTTGCTATCTCTAAAAGTCAACTATAATTTGTCACTACGCTCCATTGATGTTTTTACCGTAAATTTCAGTATGACTTACTTTGTAAAATAATTTTTAAAAAATTCCAAATTGTAACCAAAACCAGATAAATGAGTGTGTATGGAGAAGGATTATGCGGAGAGACATATCTAGTTTGCATAATGAAGAACTTGGCTGTGTACAAACATGAACAGCAAGAGATTCAGAGATGCAACAAAGAATTATGTACGTTACTATCATTTGGTTGTTTACTATACATGCTTGTCTGCTACAAGTCGTACTTTATTCAGAGATTCTTTAAAGGCTTGCCATGCAACCATGTAATGATCTTGGGATATCATACCTTCTTCCACAACTTGCATCGAACGTCTGTACAAATGATCAAACCACTGAACTGGGTTGCTGACATCAACATTATTAGATCCAAGATCTGGTATGTATAGGCGCTTAAAATCTTTCCTCCATCGCGATAAGATATAGTGAAAAGGGATTTCATCCAAACCATTGTAGTTGAGAATGCACAAACCATGTCGACAGAGGTATCCATTGAAGTTAAAGCAACCGCAGATGCAACGAATTTCCATGCCAGCTTTATCGTACATAACTTCAAAGGTCCTGATATCCCTTTGATCTCCTTCACCCTCGTGTTCTTTAATCAGGTATGTTGCAACAGGTCCACTGGCATGAACTTGTGTTACGCCAAAACAAGAAGGCATCAACACAACCTCATCTTGGAACCTCCTGAATATTTCGTTTGTATACAACTTTGAAAGCTGTAATTCATAATAGCATCTTGTTTTCAACATAGGACTTGAATCTCTTGATTCAAGATCATCGAGTGCTTCTTTTTTATGCTTCTTTTGCAAAATTAATTCATACATTTCAAAAAATTCTTTCAAAGTGGTTTGCTTATGCACATAACCATCAAAATATGAACTCATGGACTCACCATTCTGGAAGGTGCACATTCCAGCAAAAAATGTGTCTTTAAGGTAAACCGGAGCCCATCGCTCTCTTTCCTCATACAGAGTACGAAGCCATGCTTGGTCTGCAATTCCAAACCGCCGAATCATATCATCCCAACCCATTTCAAATTCATCCACCTTTAGAGAGTTGTAGACTGTCCTATTTAAAATCATTTGAAAGACACCAGATTCCTGCAACTCTCCCAAATTCTCAAGAATGCTTCGCATGACATGTGACAAATGCAGTCGATGGTGAGCCCGAGGAAATACCTCAGAAATTGCACCTTGCATAGCCCTGCACTGGTCTGTGATTATGGTTTGCGGAGGGCGACCTGACATACAAGTAAGCCATGCCCTAAATAGCCAAACATATGTTTCAAATGTATCATCAACAAGCAAACCACAGCCCAAAAGGATAGACTGTCCATGATGATTTACTCCAACAAATGCCACAAGAGAAATCTCATATTTGTTTGACAAGCAAGTTGTATCAACTGCGACCACATCACCAAAGTAACCATACGCAGCCCTAGACCTAGATTCTATCCAAAAAACATTTCTTAGATACCCTTCATCATTGACATCCATCAAGTACACAAAATTTGGATTAGTAAGCTGAATGCGGCTAAAATAATTACATATAATCTGGTAATCTCCTTTTTTAAGCTTCAAGCGCTTAGAACGATCAACATTCTGACTACTTTCTGCTTCAAGCGAGTTTGAGCTTCCATAACCCACTGGATCAACCACAGGTGTACGGTATAACTTGATTGTTTGTACTTCTACATCCACAGTTGGCTCCACCTTCCTTTTAGCCACAGTATCCATCTTCTTGTGTGACTTACAATTTTGAGCTCTTTCATGGTCAAATAGATGATTGTGTTCCAGTTTGACTTCATCCACCCTCCATCTATTAGATTCTACTAATCTCAACCTTATCATTGCAAGACAGCCAGTTCTTGTTTCCTTCCTACGACTGTTTGCTTCTTTGATTGTTTTGAAGCCCTCACAGTTACAACAGAGCACAGCTCCACGTTTTTCTTTGCTGTTACGCTTTGTCCATGAAGATTTCACCCTGATTGCAAATCCTAGCTCCTTGGCATAGCAGTTATAATAATTATAAGCATCATCATATGATTCAAACTCCATCCCCACAACTGGTGGTGGATAATCCTTTCCTTGAGATATGCCATTTTCAACAGCAACTGCAGTTGTATCATCCCTATTGCTTTCATGATTGTCTTCAATCTCAAGCATTTGGTCACAATCATTCTGAAGGCCATTGCTTTCAATGTCAAGGCCATTTCCTTCTATCTCAAGGCCATTGCTCTCAATATCAACGTCATTCCCTTCAATTTCAAGGCCATTCCCTTCCATTTCAAGCTCATGGCCATCATCCTCAAATAGCTGCTCACTGTTTTGAGAACCCTCTTCAATCTGAAACAGAAAAGCCCATTCATTATTATCAATGGATGACTTCCACTTAAAGAACACAAACAGGATACCTGAACCAGTAACTTGTAAACAAAGTTAATACATGATCTCTCCCATTTCAATCCTTTCCGACATATCTCCTTTTGGGATTTTCACTTTAAGAGCTGTTGCAACTAAAAGTTTAAGAAAGGAAAAAAACACATACAAAATCAACTTGATGCAAGCTATAAACCCTGGCTACTATTTTCTCCTCAATAGAATGTACAAAATTATCATCTTTCTCCTAGTTACTGCTGTCGTGCTTTTAGCCAAAAACATGTTCCAAGAGTAGTGAGTAGCATTTATCAAGAGTACATCTTAAAAACATCAAAATATGATATTAATTCCCCTAATCTGATCCCTAATCGTTCGTGAAGAAAAAGGGTCAATAAGGTCAAAGTGCATCAGAAATGATTGCAATACGAATATTTTTATTAATACTTTCTCTCATCAGGCAAGACACTGCACATCCCTACCTACCATGAAGGATCCAACTCTTTACACCTAACAGTTGTAATAATTCTTCAAACCCTCCCTCCATTCGACTTCTTTTAACAATATTATAGTCAAACATTAAGAAAAGTTAATTATGCCCTGCATCCCAAATTCACTATCTTGAAAAGCTTTTCAGCCTGGTTTTTTAATAAATCCACTGATATTTCGAAAATTATATCCAATATTTGAATTCAATGCTATAATTTGAGCATTTCTTACTCTTATAATGTGAGTAATTTCCATATAAATTGAAGGGAACTAAATTTAGTTACCAAAAGAAATGTTATTAACATTAATTGTTCAATAAAAATCATAATTACAGCTTAATTTACTAATAAAAAATAAAGCAAAATAGTAATTGAGTTTCCGTGCGAAATTTCAGGAGCTAAAACCCTAGAAACACGGGGGGAGGGGGAATTATAATCTCACAGGGGGGTAATATGGGAATCGGAAACCACGAAGGAGCAATTCGTGGGGAGAGAGAGGGGTAACTTACAGTGATATCGAGGTTGGGAGACGGAGACAAAGCTTGGTGGTCGCTGGAAGAAAACGTGGCATCGCCGGTCATCGTTGGAGCGAGGGTGAGGGACCGTTGCGTCAAAGTATGAGAGGTTAGTTTTACCCTAAAGGCACTCTCTCTCACTCGACCTTTGGGGGTTTGTTTTCGGGGTTTAGTCCTTTGTTTTTCTTGTATTTGCTTTCTGAGAGGATAAAATTAAAAGGAAACAGTGTTTTTGTAAATATTAAAAAAATCAGGGGCTTTTTGTGATTTTTTAGTGAACTGAGGATCCTGGATCCCGTGGTTCTGTCTTGTCATATTAGATTCTGAGATGAATTACTATAATTCCACGCGCTGATTTCAACGTTATAACATTCTCCTAATTTTCAAGATTTTTTTGTAAAAGGAAAAATTTTATTTCCTAAAGATAAAAGGAGAAATGTGTTTTTTTTTTTTATAAATTTCATAGCCAATAATAGCTTTGACTTACTCATAGATAAATAAAGATTCTTGCAATTTTAAAATATTATTAATGTTCTAAAATTGATCTCTCTTTGATCATAATAATTAAAATTTTATTTTTACTAAAATTTAGAATTTACCAATCTTTATTTTAACTATTGATTCATGATATTCAAATTTTACTATGCAAAAATCAAATTTGAACCAAAACCGCTTTTGACATTATTAATTAGTAAATTTAAAATTTTTTATTATTTTGTCAAATAATTTTAAATAATTTTACTATATTTTTTTACTTATCTTAATTAATATATTTTTTAAATAAAAAATGTTTAAATTAAACCCACATGAAAGCGCCGTGTAAATCTGCTTTATAATTTTAATCTTGTATTATAAATTTTTCTAACAGAATACCTTTGATATAATTTGAGAGCGTTGTCAGTACGAAAAAAATTATAGCGCGTGGGAGTGTAGCAAACTAGAGATATTTTTTTTTTTTTGGTAACGAAACTTATTCTTTTTCACCAAAAAGCTACCGATCAATGCAGTTTACAGCTTTTTGTCGCCTATAGACTTAAATTATGGATTAATTTTATCTGCTAATTACATTCTGATTCACATTGAAGAAGTGAATGCATGAATTTTGTTTTTTTTTTGGTTGTCAAAGGTTAGAAGACAAGAGAAGAGCATGGGTCATGCATCAAATCTGGAAAAGCTTAGATGGTTTGAGAGAAGGTGCTGGCCATATGTCACTGGAGGACTGGTAGCTTGCTTCATTACATTAACCAGGTTCATTTACTTTCAACAGCACTTTTATCAATTTAACAGGCCTGAGAAAGTTGTTGATGCTTTGACAGTATTCTTCTAGTTCCTGAGTCAATTGATCACCCAAGTTTGGCTGCATGTCAGTGTTTCCTACTGTTTGAAAGTAAGATTCAGTGCCTAGGCCCAATTGTCTTACAAATCTTTTTCATGGTTTGGAGGGTGTATTCTTGCTAGTTAGTAGCAACTAAAGGATTCCACTTATTCAAAAAAAGAAAAAGTTGAAGGGTTTAATAATTTTCTTGTGTAACTACAATATCTTAAATCAAAATATTGTATAGATTTTGAGTTTAGATGTTGAAAATTTTTTTATTTAAGCAAACATAATCTAAAGATAAGAGAAAATATTATAAACGTTAAAATTTAAATTTCAAATATGTTACCACCTTTTAAAAGTGATTACATATCATGATCCAATTAGATTAAAACTCAGATTGGGATGTTGATTTCTGTATGTGGACATTCTTGTTGAGCTTTAACCTGTAAAAATCCACTTGGAACACATTTAAACTTCACCGTTTTGTATTAAACATCCTCATGTTTATGCCAGAGAATGTAAAGAACAAATTGACGTCTTTCCTTTTTTTTTTTTTTCCTGAGGTGCTTAAATATTACTAGTACTTACTCTGAAGAAGCTTAACAGAATTATTTGTGATCGGGAGGAGCAGCAATTAAACTAAGCATAGGATTTTTACTGCTTTAAAAGCTTAAATACAAATAGTAATGAAATCCCATTCTTCAAAACAACAAGCAGCAATCAGATCCAGCAGCTATTGATAGAGTAGAAGGTAGCCACAATTTCAGAATTTACCCAAGAGTTGTTATAAAACAGGGTTAAGCCAATAATACTACTTACAAGAACGCAACGCACTGCCTTTTCATTGTTACAAAACTTGGGCAGGCGTTTCTGGAGCTGTCAATGATGTCTCATCAGCTACCTATTTTGCTCTCTTCTTCGGCTTCTTACCATTTTGAGTGCTGTCTGTTTTCTGGGATGTCTTTGCAGTCTTCGCTTGTTTGTTACTTGTATTAGTTTTAACCTTTCCAGCTTTCTTTTTTGAATCTTCGTCATCCTCTTCGCTGCTACCATCACTATTATCATCATCACTCTCTTCGGTTTTTCTTTTCATGGGAGGCTTTTTACCACGACCTCTAGGGTTTCCTCCTTTTTTTGGTTTGGTACTTTTAGTCATTTCCTCTTCCTCACTTGTTGGTTCATCCCCGTCATCGCCATCTTCATCGATATCCTCATCCTCACCTCCTTTTCTCTTAGAAGCCTGTTCCTAGGTTTACCTGCTGCTTTTGTAGCTTGTGTTCCACTCAACTTCTGCAACTCCGGTACATACGCTGATGTCTACACCAGAAACTTGAAAAAGTTAAACGAGCACTTGATAGATCAACGGGAATTCTATTTTAGAATGACCTACCCTGCCACCAACACTGATAAAATCAATTTTCTTCCCTGTCATTACATGGAAGTTCATAAATGTTACTTTCCCAGAAAAGTAAAAAAGAGCTAATATAGATAAATGGAAACTATTCATAAATTGATATCAAACAAAAAACTGCCACTTTGTTTAATGGGTAATAAACTACGAAGAACCATATCTTCCAACATAATCAACACAAAATCAAGAAACAGAAGTAAGGAGCACTTATACATGTATGTTGTGCATGCATAAAAGCAGACACATGCATTTAGAGGAAATTATCAATTTATCACTGTGAAAGGAGACGGGAGATGATGCTAGAAGAAGCATGTAAGTTTAGGAGCCAAACCGTCAACAAAAGCCTTGCCAGGCTTCTTTTCACGAGAATGAAATATCCAATTACTAGGGAAATGACTACTATCTGCCCCAACTTCAACTGCTTTTTCAATAACCTGTAAAATCAATTTTTCAACATGATGATCAGTTGTACGAGAGATATCTTACCCTTAATTTTTCCAGATTTTTTGCCCCACCGAAAATGAAACAACCAATCATGAGGAAAATGGCTGCAGTCAGCATCAACTTCAACTGCATATCGAATGACCTACAGATATTTTCCTCTATGTTTTCCATGAAGAATGCACATTTATGACTTAACATTTTTACCAACTACAACATGGGTCAAAACTTCCCTACCTCCTTGATGCACTTGTGTAAAGTTGCACAGTTTTCTTTGGACAAGCTGGAAGAAACCTGCAGAGGGTGAATCCTTGCCTGCCACATAGTAAATTATATGACAAACTTGCAACTGCTATCTAAATACTTTTAGAGCCCAAACATTTGCCCATTCAACAAATATGTTTTATGTCCACATCTCATTATTAATAAAATCAAACTTTACTCTAGAGAAGATTGTTTTTGGAAGGGTAGCAGCCACCTCATCATACAGCCACACTCAACTCATCCTGTCAAAACTCCTCTACAAAACCCCTTCACATGAACAAAGTTGCTGACTGTGAACGGAAAAAACATCTTTCCCAATCTTCAACCCCAAAAATTAGAACTCCAGTACAGTTGGCCCAATTAATTGTAGGTTATCTGGTTGGTTGCCCAAATACATGAGCAATCATTCTCTTCAATATACTTGGTAGACATTTTGATAAAAGTTGTGGGGACTAGGAAGAAGAAAAAGACTGCAATGTATAGCATAAACTTTCAGACGAAATGTTTCATAGTATCAAACAATCCCATACATATGACATGGTATCAGACAATTTTATATAACCAAAGAATCTAAATTCAATATTTTCTATTCCTCTCAAAGTTTTCAAACTAAGTAAGAGATTGAGCTAGCTGTCTTGAAAATGCAACTTGAAGATCATTACTTTTATTCCCCAAAACTACGTCTAGGACAAAGTCATGAAAAAGTATATATGTTAGCCCCAGCCCAAGTGGAAGCTCTAGTTTTTTGGTGCAACAATCATCATAGAATTTTCATTTAGACTATAATGTCAAAACTATGCATACAGAAATGTGAAATACCAAGATTTCATAAGAGCCCATATCACGGGTTTAACCTAAACAACATCTTAAATATGTAGCAATTAATCATATATAAACGGTGCACTAACTTGGTATAGCACTTCATCTGCAATCCAGTTGCCAATTCCTGAGATATAACTCTGCAAAAGTTAACAAAACAATTAGAAGGTTTTACTTTTAGTCAAAAGAAATAATAGAGAATCAGAAACAGCAGTGGCACATTGAACTAGACATTCCATCTAGGCTTTGTAGCTTCACTACTTATTCTGAACACTAAAGGTATCTAATGATCATTAAGCTTACAAAAAAGATGTCTATGACTTAAGAATGCTTATGTCAAGAAACTTATTGTATTTCACATAGTCTACAGCATAAGTTCCTCTTGCAGAGCATTGTTCTTAGTAGTCTTTCCCATGTGACTACAAAGCCTCTCAACTTTTAAGCACCATGCTCCATTATTCTGTGCTAATCATTAAGTTTATTGGATTCAGATTGAAGGCCAGTAAGAACATAGAAATCACTATGTAACTTTTATTTCTCTATCATTCCTTCTATTACCAAACCAAAAAAAAAATATTACACCACAACTTTTAAAGATTTAACAGACAAGTACTACTTGATTTTCTTCAGTTTCACACCTCAGCTTGTTCCCTCACAGAAAATCTTCCAGATACCAATATGAGGTTAAGAAACAAGAAAATAAACAATAAAAGAACTCAAATCTAATAAGAGGTTATATAAACATAAGAGAAATTATCAAATACATTAACAATGGAGTTTTTAGACTCCACAAGCGGGGTTAAGTGGGTGACACATACCCCTTAAAGTATATTTAAAAATTAAAAAATGAATTAAAAATAGAAATATGACATGTGTCAATCTCTTAACACCGCTTGTGGAATTAAAAAGTTACACTAACAATATATCAAATACTAACTCATAAACGTAATATCATTATGACAACAAAAATAGTAAGAACCATGATCACAAGAGTTTTAACCTGATCAAGCAATAGAGCTTTAATGGCAATCTTCTTCTTGCTTAAGAATTCTGTAAACTCATCAACTGTCATAGGCTCGAACAGTGCATCAGGACCAAGCTCAGATATTGGGGGCACAGAAGTAGGCTGCACCAACCAAATCATTTCAAGAAATAAATCAAAGAAATGAAGTACAGGAACTTAAAACAAACTAAGAAATAAGCACCCAAAGAACAGAAAAGAAAAGAAAACTAAGAAATTGTAATACATCTTCGAGCAAGCGGACTCTAGCAAATCGCCTCTTATCTGTGAAAGACAGCTCCAAACCATCATCTAGCTGCAAAAGAGCATTCCAACGAAGATAAATCGTCACAAATAAAGCCTCAAGAATTTCATTCAAGGTACTGATAAACTTCATTGCTACTTCTAGGTGCATAATTGGACAGACATATCTAATCAAACTAAAATCAGTTAAAATAAAACAATTTTTTTTTGCTACGAGCAGACAATGGTCTTCGAGTGCCCAATACAAAAGGGCACATGATAAAATCCACCTATAACCAATAAATAACCATTTTCACTGGGAAACAAACTGAACCAAATGATCACAATAATCTGCTCCAGAATTTGTCTTTCCCTTCATAGTTGCCTCCTCTCAAACTCATTAGGTCTTGAAAAGCTAATTGAAGTTCAAAAATAAGAATATCCAATGGATGTAGAATGCCCCTTGCGAATATCAAAAAGAAAATTGAAATTAGGAGACCACTAAAAGAATTAGAAACCAAAACATTTGTCACTTAAGAAATATTATAGAACAGCTCCACTTTTAAAGAAACGCATGATACAAATAAACAGGATTCAACATTTATCTTGTATGTGAGATTAAGTGCCTTGGACAATGCAAAGAAGATTTGATATTGAAAACTAAATACTAAATATGAATTAAAATTCCACAGATTGCAAAGGTTGGATAAAAATATTCCAGGATAACTTAAAGAAAAGATAATCCACTCAACACATTGGATCATCAATGCAAAGAGTGATGGTTCTTACTTCAACAAAGAACTTTGAATATTTGGAAGGCCATTCATCATTGTCCTTTACAGCAGACCTGCAAGCAACAATCTACGTTACTCATTACTATTAGCAACTGTAATTTGTTCAAAATATGAAGATTACTACCATAATACTCCTAAACCAAATATCATATCTAACAATTTGTGCTAAAATTCCTTTCAACTAATCAAATTAAACATCTCTTTGATGGAATACCTTCAATAGCTCATGAAATATTCTTAATTCATTTACACTCCATTTAGCTCTTACTTCCAATTGTTGCATTTTGTTATTTGCAACAAAAATTCTCAATTTTTAACAATTTAAACTATTATTCACTTTTATACTATTCAAACCCACTTGTTGCTTCCAAGACCAAAAATAATAATAAAATTAAAAATATTTAATATTAGAGAAAATCACTACCAAACAGAAGCAGAAAAGAACATCACCTCTTATACTTTGTAACAGCAACGCCCTTTATATAAATGGCACCAGCCATCCCTGAAATCCATTCAACCAAAATTGATTTTTTTAAGGCACATTTTTTAAGAAAATGACCAGAAAATAGTATAATAGTAGATATGCATTTCTAGGTTTTTGAAGCGAAGCGTACCGAATTGGAAAGAAGGAAAAGGACGGGAATCGAGGTGGAGCCAAAGGTTTTTCCCCTTCCGGTGAGCGGAGACTATGGTCTTGCCTAAGAGAGAGGACTCGAAGTCCGAGGCGGAGACTCTTTCGATGACTTTAGAGTCATTAGCTATAATCGCTTTCGTGATCTTCTTCCCCAAGCAGTTGTCTTCTATCGCTCTTCTTGCTGCCTCTACCTCTGGAAGCTCCGGCATTGCTTTGCTAGGGTTTTCTGCCTATTGCACTCCTTTTTTCTTGGTGTTTGAGAGTTGAGACTCTGAGAGACCTTAAGGAGCAAAGGGGAGAGTCCAACTCGAATACTTTGATTTCCTCCTTCATGGATTAAAATTTGAAAGACTTTTTGAATTTTGAAAAAAAAAAATTAAAAAAGCAAGAGTCATGTTTGATTTTCTGAGTAAGCTCACAGTTTTTTTTTTTTTATAAAATGCATACTTATTATTATATTTATGTAAACGATTCAATTTTACCTTCAGTTATAAGTGTAATTTTAAAATTTTTGAAATAATTAAAGAATATTCACTAGAAAATTTTGTTAAAAATTATTTTATCATTTAAAAATAATTTTAAAATTGATATAACTGAAAAAAAAAAACAATAAAATTAAATTTTAAGTTTTTTATAATCTATTTATTTTCTTTTTTATTATGATGTTTTTATTTTATTTTTTCTTGCATCTTGATATTTTCTACTAAATATAATGTCACATCATACTTTTTTTAATTGATTTGAGTTTTTTCTTTTGTATCATTTTAAAGTTTTCTTAATTATAAATCAGTTTCTAATTAAATATTCTACATAATATCTTCCTTGTACCCATTTTTTCCTTTATTTTTTTAATAAATAAATAATATAGTTTTGATAAAAATATTTTTTTGAAAATTTAATTTATTATTGGAAAATTATTAATTTTAAAAAATAATTTAACTCTTAACTATTAAAATTATTATGAATTATATATTTTTAAGTAATAAATTTTGAATTATTAAATCTAAATAGTATTCTTTTAAAATTATTTTTTTTCTTTTCTCTTCTTCTATCTTTTCTTTTTTATACTTTCTTCGTTGTTGTTTCTTTTTTCCCTCTTGTCGCAGGAGAAGAAACGAAAAGCGGAGAAAGAAAAATTACATAAAATTATATTTTTATAAAATGTTTCACTTGAGAAAAAAAATCAATGTACCTTTTTTTAATTTTTTTGAAAAAAAATCTTAAAAAAATGAGCTCTCAATCATATAACTTACAAAAAAAAAGAATAAATTAACAAAATAGAGAATAAATATTTTTGATAAAAAGATCAGTCTTTTTTAAAAAAATTAATTTTCAAACAATATATTATTTTATTTTAAATACTTTTTGGGAAAGATAAACTTAACAATTAACTATTGAAATTATTATAAATTTTAAGTTAAAATTTTTAATTATATATAACAAAAAAGTATAAATTTAAATTATATTTAATTTAAAAAATGATAATTTTAATCAATAAAAAATATGTTATTCTACTCTTACTCTTACACATAAAAAATAGAAATCATCATATCTTATTCTAAATCCTTACATAACACTCATATAATAATCATATATTATTTTAATATATAAATTCTGTGTACATGCTTTTGTTACGTAAGATAATGAATAAAATAAAATAATAAGGCAAGATAATAATCATTTATCTCATATTTTGTGTGTATTACAAAAAGCATTAATTATTTTTTATTCGATTCAATTTTTGATTATTTTTAATTTATATTAGTGAATTTAAATTTTTATTATATTTTTAAAAGCTACATCTATAAATTATATAAAATATTAATTAGATGACAAATGTTATGCAATGATTGATTATTTAAAAAAAATTTCTTATTTTTATTTTTATTTCTTTTTCTTCCTTCCCTTCTTTACCATTGCTTGTCAAATTTCAGGAAGGGACCACTCTTCAATTGAAAAGGAATTGGACTGGAGCTTCCTACCTCTCAAGAGAGACCAAATCTTACCCTCGTGCTAGATTGTGCACGGTGAAAGCCCTCGCCCCGTCGTTTGCCGCTCCAGTTGTCATGCGAGACGATGAGGGACAAATCCGACCCTTTCCAACCAGCAATCGGTGGAAAAAAAAAAATTACTCGAATTCAAATTTTAGATACATCTATGATTTTTTTAGATTTTGAAGTATATATATAACCCATTCATTAGCCTTCCTTTTTTTGCTTGAGTCGTGATTTCATCTAATTTGCATGAGTTTAATTAAGTATCAACCTTATCCATGTCAAACTATAAAATCAAGACTTTCCAAATGTATGGCTAGAATTGCTCATGTGTAAAACATGTTGTACCTCTTCCAACTTTTGGCAAAAGACTCCAATCATTAACAAATATATGTTACATGCATATCACATGATTCCATGAAAATAAAAATTTGATTTGTAATTCTCAATCTTAATTCTCCACATTGAAACCTTCAATTACATATCAACCAAGAGTCCGATATACATAGGATTTTCCTAGGTGATTGATATCGTGTTTTCTTCCATTTATGCAATCAAATCCTTTTCCCCTACCACACACCAAAAGTACATTAATTATTCACATTTTTCTACACGTGCGCATCACATGCTTTAAACTAATATTGTAGCAACGGCTGTGGTTTCAACATTATCAACTTTTCCTATACATGTGTTTTGAGAAGCTCATAATGAACTCGTCAAGTCCTTTTCTCATTATTTCTCTTTACCCATTAATTTTGCATCGTGGTTCAAATGTTTGAGGCGTGCAAATCATGCTTCGTGAGTAAACAAAGGGTCCATCTCCAAAGGGGACCATTGGGTAGGATTTAAATCTTCGTATGATTCAAGGTTGAATCTTATTGAGACAGACGTAGTGGGATTTTATGGGACGGGAGAGATTTTTTTTATTATTATATGTGAATAAAAAAATAAATAAATAAAAATTTCTCATCATAATATCTTTGCATCAAGTTAATTATCTCCTTTGTCATTGAAAGTTCTCCATTCCAATTAAGTATTTCTTTGATTTTTCATTCAATTATTTTTTATAAATACATACATTATATATATTTAATACACACATATTTTTATTTTTTGATGTTTATTTTTGTAACGCAGAGACACTGTCATGTTAATTTCATTTTTATCATGTTTGGATCCTTTTAATTGCCGTGTCAACTTATTATTATTATTATTGTTATATTTTTAACATGTCAGCTAAGTTTGTTTAATTACATCTAATTTAACATTAATATATACTTTAACTATTCATTAATTTAGAAATTCATTAATCTATGATATTTATAAATTCAATTAATTATGAATAAATATGCTTCATGTCATTTAAAATTTTAAGTATAGATTAATTAATTATGAATCAAATTTGAAATTAATGAATCCAACTAATCATGAGCTGAATCATACAATCGATTAATTATGTATAAATGTACTTAATGTTTAATGTAATTTAAATTTAACATATTTATTAAATAGTATAAATACACATAAATAAAATCATGCTAATGATAGTTTACCTAACTCAACAACACAAGTTATTCTCTATTTCGACTTGGTATTTCTTGATTTTCAGTTTTTTTTTTTTTTTTACTTTGATTGAGTCAAATTTTATTATCATATGTATTTAAAAAAATTATTTAATATATCGATGATAGAGTTTTTTAACTTTAAAAATGAGATTAAAATGATGATACATCTTTCATTTATTTTTTAAATTGATTTTTTAAATATATAAAGAATATAAATTATTATCTTAATATTATTTGTGGAGTTAAAAAACTCATTGTCAATGTATTTTATAATTTTAAATATAAGAAATTATAAAATGAAATATTAAAAGATTCTTTTTACCTTTTAGTCTCTAAACTTTGATTTCATCCTAAAAAATATAAATTACATTAAATTAAAAAAATTATATTAATTTTCTTGTATTTTTAATACTTAACCGAAACAAAATTTAAAAAATTGTATTATCATATAAATTTATTAGAAATTATGTGATAACAAAACTATTTTTCACTTTTGTTTATCTTTATAAAAATGCCTATACCAAAGTATTTTACTTGTATAAATAGAAATTAGTGTATATAAAGAAAAAAACCTGACTATAAGTACCTAGATTTACTTTAAAATAATTATAAGTTAGTTTTTTGTAAATTAAAATTTTAAATACAACTAAAATTAGATTTATTAAATAATCGTATAATTTAATGATAGAGTATTGAACTATTGATTTTAATCATCGTAGTTTAATTTTTGATGGCTTCAATTATATATATATATAAAAAACCATGTCTATCTAATTAAAATAGTTTTTAAAAATTTTATCTATTTATTATGGGTTATGATTTTGTAACACTAAATGAAGGTTTCATAATAATTTTTATGAAACTAGGATTGTGAAATTAAAACTTAAAAAAAAAAAGTTGAAATAAAATCCCAAGTATAAAAGAAAAACTCAAAGTCTAATAATAAATAATGTAAAATTTTACTATTCAAAAAATAAAGATTGAGAGTATCTTCAACAAAAAAAATAATTGAGAGCATGGTCCCACAACACCACATAAGTTGATTTCAATTACTATACAACCGGCCACAACAATAACGTGCGACAAACTTTATATAAAAATTTTTAAGTAAAATTTATAAAATTATTTTTAAAATAATTTAATAAAAATAATTTAAAATATTATTTATAATTTAAATTTGATTATTATTTATTTAATGATAAAATTTTTATTAAAAAATTTATAAAAAATAAATATTAAAATTTAATAATCTTTCTCTAAATTAAAAATATATATAGAAATTTTGTGTAAAAAATTTTCTCTAAATCTTTCTCTCAATTGAAAGGATTTTACACTTGCGAACGAAAACGGTTCTCCAATAAAAGCGTATTAAGTGCTGTTTGAGTTTGACTAAAATGAGCTCAGCCAACAAATCAGACAAGCGCTGTACTTGCCAAAAAAAAATTAATAAAACGCATTAGCTAAAATGAACTGCAATTTTTTACTATTATTATGGTTTGCAATTAAGATCTGTTTTGAATTTTTATTTTTTCGTAAGAGATAAAGATTTTTAGTTTAATTTAATGTTTTATTTCATCTAATCTTTTATTTAATTTAATAACTATGTAATTTATATTAAAGTTTATTATATGATCACGATTATAATTTTTTATTAAAAATTTTAAAAAAACTTACATCCTGAGGTTTAAAAACTTATATTTTGTTATCTTTATATTTTTTATTCATTTTTAAATAAACAATGTTAAAGAAAATTTGATATTTATGAAATCATTAAAGAGAAAGATTGAAAATTCAAAAAAAAAAAAGAAGGAGAAAAAGATAAATAATTTTAACTTTAAAATTGATTAATTTTAATATATGTGAATTAATATATATATATATATATATATATGAATTTGAGTGAGATAGAACTGGATTTGAATTTTAAATTTTTTATTCAAAATTTAATTAAAAATTTAAATATATTTAAAAATTATATCAAAATTTGTTTAATAAATTTTAATTTTTATTCAAATTCTCTTAAAATTTAATCAAACTTTTAAGTTTAAACAAATAACTCAACCCTTAAATAAGTTTAATCATAATGTTAAAAAACTTATGCTATTATCTTGTGATTTTTTTAATTAATTTTTAAATGAACAATGTTAAAAAAAATTGACATTTATGACATTGAGAAGGATTGAAAAATTCAAGAAAACAAAAGAAAAAGATAAATAATTTTAACTTTAAAATTGATTAAAATTGATTTCATAAATTAGAGTTATAGAAGTGAAAAAAAAAGAAAAAGGAATGGTATGATTAAAATGGCTAAATACAAGGACTAGTTACCACTTAAAATGGTGACAACAGAGATTTCATATGATTAAGTTGTCAATATCAAAGTGACCATAATTCTTTAAGATCCTATCTTAAAAATATGCCAAATTTTAACAACAATTCATATAATAGTCATCATGCTTCCATAGCCAAGTAGTCATCCCGTGGGAGGCAAAGCCAAACTAAGGCCGCAACATCTGATAAAACAAAGCTGCTCGGTCATAAACTGCAAACGTATTAACCACCGTCCACGTGGCATTCTCTGGACGGTCATTTCTTTGCCTTTACCCCACTCACATTGTTTTTGTCATAATGCAGATGGGTTTTTGTAATAAAATGGAATGGGTGGGGGATGGGCACTTTTCAAAAATCACATGTAAAGAGAGGGAGGGAGGGTCAGAGGGGCAAAGCAATTAGGGTTTCAAGGAGAGGCTAGGATTGCTCACAAATCCAAAACACTACTAAAAAAATCCTTATCTTATCATCTCTAATATTTTCACAAGATTTTCTCCCAATAAAAAGGTCTTTCAAAACCAACACTTTCTATCTTTTTTTTTTTTTTTCAATCCTCACTTTACTATTCCAGGAATCAAGCAATGAAGCTGCAATTTCAGTGAAGTTGTTAAATTTGGTATACAATTGAAAGTCGAAACTTTTTCCAAATATATAACTGTTTTCTTTGATAGAAAATAAAAAAAGGTTATAGAAAATGGCCCCAAGGTCAGGCAGGGGAAAATCAAATAAAGCAAAAGCAGAGAAGAAGAAGAAAGAGGAGAAAGGTATGCTGCCTTTTTTAGTACATTAAAAAAGAATCTCATATGACCCCCTTTTTTTTCCTTTCGATTTGACTTTTGTTTTTGCTTCTTTTCCCAGTTGTTGTTCCTAGTGTTGTTGACATCACTGTCATTACTCCATATGAATCAGAAGTTGTGCTCAAGGTGCTCTGCTTTTCCAGTTTTCTCTATTTCCCTTCTTGGATGTCATTGAAAGAATGAACATTTGTTCAATTGAGTCTTAAGTAATGGAAATTTTGTTGAAGGGTATCTCCACTGACAAGATACTAGATGTGAAAAGGCTGTTGGCTTCTCATGTGGAGACATGCCACCTTACAAACTATTCTTTAGCTCACGAGGTGCTCAAGCTTTAATTTCTTATTTTTTTCCTCCATTTTTTTTCTAATAGCTGATTTTAACTCTTTAATTTGTTTGTAAAAACAATGGTTAGGTCAAAGGGAAGAGATTGAATGACAAAGTGGAAGTGGTTACTCTGAAACCATGTTTGCTCAAAATGATTGAAGGTAGGTTAAGCCTCCTTACCAAAAAACTCTAATTTTTTGTAGAAAACTTCTCTGATGCTCTCTATTAGGTAAGTTTTGATACTCTGTTTGTTTTATTCTTTGTCTTCAACTCTTCATATAATCTAAAGGGACACCTGAAGAATGGGTTATTCTTCCTCTTTTTAAAAACTCTTTCAATCAAAAATTAATCAAAGAGAAGATTTTTTATGGGTATTTTGAGTTAATTATTTACAGCAAAAAGCAAAAAAAAAAAAAGTTTCATTTAGGGTAGTGGGGAATGGGGGGGGACACTGGGACAGTTTAGAAAATGAAAAGCTGAGCAGGAAAGGGCAGTGGTTTCCACATGCAGGAGACAAACAAAATTTTTAGTCATAAATTATGCAACTTCCCATTGATAAGAGCAACAAATGACTTGAGGAAATTTGTCTTTTTCCAACTTTGCAACCACTTCTAGGGATACCCTTCACTTCATATTTAATCAAGATTTTGTCAAACTCCAAAACAAACAAACATAATAATAATGATATATTTCAATTTTGGTTCAGATACCCTTATCTTGTAATGACATATTTCTTGAGAAATGTCCCAATATTTTACTCTTATTCCCCATTGAGAGTATCGAAATTTTTTTTATGCTAAATTCCATAATTAATAAGTTAAATTTAGCCCATCATATCATATAGATTGGATGCTAGAGATATCTCTCTAGCGCAAAGTTGGTTTATTGTTGGGACAGTTCTACTAGTTCGGCACATTCTTCTAACTTCCTCTTTATCTCCCTTTCAAATTTTAATATTAATATTTTAACCTTTATCTAATCACAAAAAAAAAATCTAATTTAATTATTTGAATAAAATTATTTAGTTATTTTGAATTTGAAGATTAATTTAGTTAATTCATATTATTTGTTTTTGAAAGCGAAAGAACTCGAATTCAAGTATAAAAAATTCTATAAAATCTAAAATGAGTCTTGAGCTGAAGCTGAATAGAAAAATAATCAATTTTCTTATTTTAATTATAATGTAGTAATTTAATTTTGTGAAAAGTAAAATATAATTATTTTATATTTATATTTAAGTTTTAGTTATTTAAATATTTAATATTTAACTTATAAAATATAATAATTATTTTATATTTATATATAAGTATTGCTTATTTAACTTTTTATTTCATAAGAGTACTGTATTTATTTTTATTTAAACAAACATTTACTTTTTACTTTTGTTGAAACAAAAATAAGTAGAAAAATCTACAAGCAAATCTTATCCTAATCAAAATTAGAATCTTTTGGCAGAAATTAAAACAAAAAAAAAAAAAATTCACCGACATTTTTGTATACTTTAAAACGACACGTTTTACTCGAGAAAACACGTGTACTCATTGTTAGACGAACAATAGAATATGACATTGCCCAATAATTGTTTGCTAATTACATTCCTGCCCCTTTGACTTTGACGCAGAGGACTACACGGAGGAAGCTCACGCCGTGGCTCACGTGCGGAGACTCCTAGACATCATAGCGTGCACCACGAGGTTCTCGAAGTCCAAACGACTCCGATCACAATCATCATCAGCATCGCCTGATTCAAAATCCAAAAAGGTCAATAGTAGGCGCCACCAACCCAACAACAAAGCTCCTCCTCCTGCGCCGTCCGATGGAGGAGAAGAATCAACATCAGAAACGACGTCGATTTCGGCGGCGATTTCGGAGAATATGGACATGGCTGCCATTTATCCGACCCCGAAATTATCGGAGTTTTACGACTTCTTTTCATTCTCTCATCTCTCTCCTCCCATCCTCAGTAAGTGCCTTTATTATTTTTTATAATAATTCAAAAAATAATAGTATTGCTTTTGTACTCAAAGTCACATTTTACAAATTAGGGTTATAGATGTTGTTTACAAAGGTGTCAATCATCTGCTTGGAATAAATAAAATCCACAATATGTTTCCTATGCTTGGAACCTGAAAAAGAATTAATTCCTTAATGTTCAATTATATATATAATAACATGAGGAGTCATTTGCAAAATGAAATGAATTCTATTCTAAAAATATTCATACCAAACATAGTTTGTTTAAAGGAAAGAAATTGGAATTTGTGCTCTTTAAGGATTTCAGTGTGTTGCTATTGTTATTTTAGACTTGAACTTTTGAAACTTAATTTTGTAAGCAACTGAATAGATTAAAACTTTTCTTTTGTATGGTTTATTTTCCCCCTTTTTTTAACTAAGTTAGATTGTTATTTACTCATTCTGGTTTTTGTAGATTTGAGGAGATGTGACCCCAAGGATGTGGAAGAGAGGTGTGATGGTGACTATTTTGTAATGCAGGTATAATCTCACTCTGTATGTTAATAGATCTTCTTAATGGTTATTTGCATTTACGATTAATTTGCTAAACTTTTGTAAGCCTTGATATAAAGCATAAATTGTTGATGCAATAGCATCCAAATATTGTTTGAGGCTTTACTTCACATTATCATGATCATTGGCGATGCAGTGTAGCGGTGAAGGTGTTATTTTTTCTTTCTCTTTTGTTAACAGACACTCATTTTTTCTATGTTGTTATTTTGACATCTTAAATCTTTGATACAATGGTAGTTACTCTAGACAGTTGAATGATGATAATTTAATATTGTTGTTCTTGTTGCATTTTGACCACCTTTCTGTTTCCATATGCTGTTGGTTTTGTTGATTTTATATTTCTCCTGCTACTGTTTGTACTGATATGTAATATGTAATATTTGTGTTCAGATAAAAATCTGCAATGGGAAGCTAATACAGGTGGTTTCATCTGTAAAAGGGTTTTATACTGTGGGAAAGCACTTCTTCCAGAGCCACTCTTTATTAGATCTTTTGCAAAACCTCAGCCAAGCCTTTGCCAATGTCAGTACTGTTTATCTTTAATTATTAAGCTTCCATGAACATAACATATATGTTGATTTGAAACGGTTGCTGTATTAAACAAGGCTGAAAAACTCTGCTTGCATCATATTGATTGCAGATTTTAATCAAATCTTGATAAGCATGTTTTTACTTGTAACATTTTATCTAAGATGTTCTGAAATTCTAGTACCCCCCTTCTAGAGGGAAGAAAACAGGGTTGGTTATGTTTGTGATACACCGTGAGGGTATACTTTAGAACTGTAAATCAAAAAGAAAAACATTGAGGGAGGAAAAACAATCTTCTTCATTATCAATTGGCCACAAGGAAAACTGTCATCAATAATCTGCTGTTCTGTAGTATTTCACTTTGCCTTCTCAATTAGAAAATCTTAAGCTGCTATGGAGTGAACCAACAATGACATCAAGTGGTTATTTGCTGTAACAACAGCTGCTCCTACTATTGACTTTATGACAAACCCTACCTTTAGGTCCTTTACCACTCATAATGGTTAGTAATGACTTGTAAGTAATTGTCTAGGGATGGCAAAGTAACTTGAGTCTGATGGATTCTAACACGTCCAAACCAAGTGGGGCGGATATTCCTGTTAGAAAATCTGGCTCAGGTTAGGTTGTGTTTATTTATCTGTATGTTTATAATTGTTACTTTTTATTTTGAGAAGCACTGGGTTGGGTCTGATAGGCATTGCCTTTCACGGTCAAAACCCAACCAAGATATATTACAAAAATATGCCTGATATCTTTGTTACAGTATGTTTTTTACTCTGATAATATTTCATATTACTTGTATATCTAATTTTATAAGTTATCATTAATTTATAATATTATAATGTTAATATATTAAAGTAACCCTTTAAATGCCTTTGAATGTGGGTTGGTTTGGGTGAGATTTAGGTCTATCATATTTGTGTCAAGTTCGGTTTGGGTGAGTTATCTGTAATTTTCGATAGGATTCTAGTGGACAAAAAACTGATCCAAACTGATCCATTGCCATCTTTAACTATGCACAATTGAGCAGTGTTTTTGGTTGATTGTTCATGCCAATGCATTGTGCCTAGCTTCCAGGCTGTTTCCGTTTGTTTGTTACCATAGATGAATACCCACACGCTTTTGATCTTTAGACAAATGTCAAAATACAACGAGAAGTGTTCCCCATGTGAGCTTCTTTTTTGTGCTCTAAAAATTTGGTTCAACATTGTTCAAGTAATCCAACAAATCTGAAAACTGACCAGTCTAAAGTTTGTTATGGCATGACATGACTTGTGTTGTAGCTATCATGGGATTCATGTCTCACTTGTTATGTCAATTAGCTTAACAGGTCAGGTTTGTGATTGATTCGCTCTTGTGCTTGATGCAGGCATATGAATCCCTTATTAAGGCTTTTGTGGAACACAATAAGGTGACCTTTTCTTTATTTTCATGATAGGTTATTTTACCTTGTGAACCATGACATCTCTAAAAGCAATTTTGCAAGCTCTTATGTTTTCTTATGGCATTTTTTGATTCCAGTTCGGTAATCTTCCTTATGGGTTTCGTGCAAATACATGGCTTGTTCCTCCCCTTGCTGCCAAGTCTCCATCAACCTTCCCCTCTTTCCCATCAGAAGATGAACAATGGGGTGGTAATGGTGGAGGCCAGGGAAGAAATGGTGAATGTGATCTTCGGCCATGGGCTACAGATTTTGCAATTTTGGCTAGCCTTCCTTGCAAAACTGAGGAGGAGAGGATTGTCCGAGATCGCAAGGCCTTTTTGCTGCATAGCCAATTTATTGATGTCTCAATCTTTAAAGCTGTAGCTGCCATACAGTGTGTTATGAATTCCAGGTTAAATGCCAAGGGCACTGTAAATTGCCATCCAGACTCAATCCTTCATGTGGATCACGTAGGTGACTTGTCCATTATAGTAAAACATGATATAACAGATGTGAATCTGAAGTCTGAGGTCAAGGTTGCTGGCCAAGAATCATCTGGCATGACTGCTAATGAAATGGCTCAAAGGAATTTACTTAAAGGGATAACTGCAGATGAGAGTGTAGTTGTTCATGTAAGTCCGCATCTCCTTCTCTACTTTACTTAAGTGTCTGCATCATCTTATCTTTTTTTCCTCTTCTGATGACTTTTTTATTTGTTTCCTAAGATTAAGCTGAGGTCTTAGCTTATAATATTCACCTGTCTCCCTCCCCCACCCACCGCCCTCCCCTTTCTCCCTCTCTCATCTTTCTGTATATATGATGCACATGCTTTAACTGCTGCTGCTTTGCCGTCATTATTACCTTTATCCTTTTTACTTCCTCTGTATCTTTTAACAACTTCTAACAATAATCTGATTTGTCACGTGAGACTGACATGGGCCACTTTTATTTTGCTCTCAATCCTTTGCTTCTCTGTTATGTGCGTGTCTGTCTATGCATGTCAGCTTGTGTACTCATGCACAGCTTTGTCCAAAAGCAAATGTCTCTATTATGTTCTTGTTCTTTCCTGGAAACCTGAGCCCAGTACCTTCATCAGTCCTGTTTTCCAAGACAACCGTTTAAAAACTTATTTTCACACTGCCAGATGACAATGTATGTTTTCTCACTAGCTTAATATATATCCTCTTAGCTCTTCTCCTCCAGTGCCTTAAAATAAATTTCATAAACCGTCTTTTGTTTAGTTTGCTGATCTCTATCTCATTTGGCCAAACCCTGTTAAATGGATGAAATTTCCAGATTATGCATAATGGTAGAAATTTCCCTCAAAAAGCCTTTTCAAATTTAAATTCTTTGTTTTCACTAAGCTACATAATGAACATCTTACAGGATACTTCCTCATTGGGCACTGTCATTGTTAGACATTGTGGGTACACAGCAATTGTAAAAGTTGTTGGTGCCATAAAGACGGAAAAGCTTGTTGCTCAGGATATTGAAGTTGATGATCAACCAGATGGAGGAGCTAATGCTCTTAATATTAACAGGTCTCGATTGTCTGCTGATTCCCTCATTTCTATTTCACGCATACAGCACACACGTGCAAATTGGGTCCTGTGGTAGGGCTTATCAGTGGAATGATAGCTTAGTTCTTATTATCTATTAGTGATGAAGTTAACTGCATTATATCAAGCATGATCTACCATTTAGAATTGTTGGAATCCATTCTGTTTAACCAAACTTGTCAGTTGTGTGTTATCTTCTGGGTCTCTTAATTGAAAGGGGCAGCGGAACTTGTCTGCCATGAGAAGATAATAAAACAGGATATGAATTAATCTTCCGAAGTGAGGTTTTATTTGTGAAATTGAGAATTTGATGAAAGGATCAAAGAACACAAGATTGAGTGCCTTCTAGAGACATCTCATATGTTGACTGGTATTATCACATTTCAATTAGGTTTCCGGGATTTGGTTTTAGCATTTTATCAATTACCAATTGGTTTTGGGTGGATGCTTAACTTGGTATCAGGAGTGTAGATTATTTATTCCCCATTTGTCATTTGTTATTCATTATTTGTTGCCCTACATTTCTTGTATATGCATTCCATTTGTTAGAATTGAGCTATGTGTGAGCGGGATGTTAAGTTATCTTACATTAGTTGAAGGTTTTGTTGTGGCCTTATATTGAAGGCTTCTTCAGTTATTCGCAATTGGTTTTAGATTCAATGCATATAATGACTTCTAACAGCATGTCCTAATAAATTTATTGTTGCACGCATTTTGCTAATCTTCAATGACTTGCTATGTTTTTTACTTGGAAACAATATATCCTCCGCTACATAATGATGGGATATTGAATTTATTGCAGTCTAAGGGTTTTACTTCACAAGTCCTGCACTGCAGAGTTAACTGGAGTAGGCCAGTCGCATCAATCCAACTTGAATGATTCTGAAGCTTCTAGATATCTTGTTCAGCAAGTAATTAAAGAGAGCTTGTCCAAATTAGAAGAGAAGTCGGCTGCTCCTGAAAGGTCTATTAGATGGGAACTTGGTTCTTGTTGGTTGCATTATCTACAAAAGCAGGAAACTTCAACAGATCCTACTTCAAAAGGACCTGCTAATGATTGTGAGGCTGAACCTACTGTCAAAGGTCTTGGAAAGCAATTTAAATTTTTAAAGAAAAGGGATAAAAAACCTGGTAATGTCAGTAGCACAGTTGACAAGGAAGAAAATGACTCTGAGTCGTGCAGTATGGATGTGAAGTCTAATCTAGGACAGCAAAGCGATGGTAAGTCCAGCTGTGAGATGCAATTGAAGAACCTGATTTCTGAAGAAGCCTTCTTGCGTCTTGAAGAAAGTGGAACTGGTCTTCACTTAAAGGTTTCTTGGCCACACTCTTCAATTTTTCCTACATTTACTTCTTAGTTTTTACTCAGGAGTTTGGTATTGATTTACTGTGCTATCTATTTGTGTAGTTTTAAATGGCAGTGCTTCAAGCTATCTATACATTTATTATTTTCTTTATAACTACTATTATTATTGTGCTATTAAAGTTTTCTCTTCTGTATTTTGAACTTACTTTTTTGAGTTTGCCTTGTGCGACAGTCAGCCGATGAGCTTATTAAGATGGCATACAAGTATTATGATGACACTGCTTTACGAAATCTGGTACTAATTAATTTCCCAAGCTATTATGATGGCAGACAAGGTATTTTTTGAGTTTTATGCACAATCCATGAACCAACTCTTATACTTTATTAGGTAACAGACTTTGGATCACTTGAACTTTCCCCTGTTGATGGTCGTACACTAACCGACTTTATGCATTTAAGGGGACTACAAATGCGCTCTTTGGGTCGTTTGGTGAGGAAACTCTCTCTATAAAACTGGTTCTCTTGGATCCTTTTGTGCAAGTGATTTTTCTTGTTTTTGAATCAATGCTTATTGGCATAGTCTTCAAGTAATACTTTGATTTCCTAAGAAGTACAGTTTTATCTTTTAAAAATTATGAAAAGTACACACTTAAAAGTACAATTTCTTGTTTTTGTTGACTCTGATGTCATTTTACAAGTCAGGTTGAACTTGCTGAGAAACTTCCTCATATACAATCACTTTGCATCCATGAGATGATTACTCGAGCTTTCAAGCATGTACTCAATGCGGTTGTTGCATCTGTTGACAAATTTGAAGACTTACCTGTGGCTATAGCTTCTTCCCTAAATTTCTTGCTTGGAAATAGTGGAGTGGAAGATAATGCCCAAAACACAGATGATGACTATTTTCTAAAAGTGAGGTGGTTAAGAAAGTTTCTTGCTGCAAAATTTGGTTGGGAGTTGAGAAATGAATTCCATCATTTGAGAAAACTATCCATTCTTCGGGGACTTTGCCATAAGGTACTATTTTCTGTTGACTGCTTTAGCTGCTGAGTGCATCAGACGCAGAGTTTTTACTGATATTTTTTCCCCCAGATTGGACTAGAGTTGGTTCCTAGAGATTATGATATGGAATTCCCAACACCTTTCAGAAGTTGTGATATTATTAGCATGTATCCTGTTTGTAAGGTGGATTTCTCTCTTTCTCTCTCTCTTTTTCTCTTTTCCCTTTTTTTTTTTTCAAAATTGTTATTATCTCAATGAGCCAGCTTCTTATGGATTCACGATAACGATACTCTGCCTGTAATGCTTTACAGCATGTAGGATGTTCTTCTGCTGATGGCCGAACATTGTTAGAGTCATCCAAGATTGCTCTTGATAAAGGAAAACTAGAGGACGCTGTTAATTATGGGACAAAGGTATTTTCCCATTCACATTTATTTTGTCATATTTGGTGAAGGAGAAGGGAAGAGAAAGTGACATAATTTTTATCTTGTTTTCTTTTATATTTTCTCGGTTGGTTAAAATTTGACGAAGGCAAGCAAGAGAAACTGAAAGGAAAATCTCTTTTCTTCATTGGGCCTGCCACAAGTTTTCTTAGAATAGTAGAGAGTTTGAAGGAACCGTCTCTCTCTCTCTCTCAAAACTAAAAAAGGAAAAATCATTTAAGAATGGGGTAGTAATCAATCAAGTATTTCTCTCAATACATCTATATTAAGAGAAAGGAGTGTATGAAATGGTTGCTTCATGTTAAATATTACTTCCATTTAAACTCTAATACATAATCTTGTCTTTCAACAAGTAAATTACATTTTGTGCAGAACTTTTGAGGCCAGATTATTTGTTACACTACATTAAAAAAACCCTCAATAGAAAATAGTTCACTATTTAATGCTCTGTAGGTGATTTCATGCGATCTTTTCGGTACATATCTATAGTAGTTATGAAGTTCTTAACTGAGTTGGTGTTACAAGTCAAGTGATTCCAACTTAGTTAAGGAATTTATTTAAATCCAAAAAAAAAAATACAAGAAAATAAATTAGGGGTATTTATGTCTTGTATTTTTTATAAAAACACATTTAAAAATAACTACTCACCTCTTAAAAAATTACCCCCCTTTCAATTAAGTAACTTCTTCCTTTAAAAGCACATTTTTTAAAATTTCAAAATCCTCACATAGTGGGTGGCCAAATTCTAGTAATATATAAAAGTCATTGCTTGAGTTGGTGTCATGTCAATTCTGTATTTTATTTAGACGTTTAAAATGAGTTGGTGTCATATCAAACTTGATGACTGATCCCCTCACTCTTCTTATTTTTCTCTTCTTTTATAGAAAGGAATGTTATCTCCTACTTTTTGTCCTTTTTGTATAATAAGTTAATCTTACAGCTAATGTTTAACCGTTTCAACTTTTTCAAATAATTAACAAAGTATAGCATGTGCCATAAATTCTTAGTATGTAAATTTAGCATGTATTTTAACTATATTTTCATTAAGCAACAAAGGAAATAACAAAAAAAGTTCCCTTTTTCCCTCTAATTCCTCCCTTTGTTGTCTCCTCCTTTCTCCTTCGTAGTGAAGGGATGCAATGTTACTAAATAGGACTTCCATTGGTCTCATATTATGTGTTATTTGCTTTTGAAGGCATTGGCAAAGATAATAGCTGTGTGCGGTCCCTACCATCGAACTACTGCAAGTGCTTACAGTCTTCTTGCTGTGGTTCTCTACCATACTGGAGATTTCAATCAGGTATCAAAACCTTCTGCTATATTTCAGATTAAGATGTAGGAAAATGAATTCACTTAGTCTTCTCTTAGAGGGAGATGAAATAAAAGGTGTGAGTTTCTCTGAGTATCATTCATATGTTCCTCTGCTTGTACCATAGAAAAATAAAATAGAGTGGGAATTTTTAATTCAGCTTCATAACTATTGCTAGTTCTTTTATATAATGTCAAATCCAAAGTTGCCTTAAAAGTCTGCTAACATGAGAAGCTATATCTTTTAAGCAATTATGGGAGTCAAATCATAGATTATGATTTTATATGAAAATGAAATCGTTTTCGATTTTTAATCATGCCATTCAGTCAATCTATCTGTCAAATTTAACTAAACTGGTTATAACTGAGAATATTTATAATCTAAATTATTTCTTCTTGTTTAGGCAACTATATATCAACAGAAAGCTTTGGATATTAATGAGAGGGAGCTTGGTCTTGACCATCCAGATACAATGAAAAGCTATGGGGATCTTTCTGTATTTTATTATCGGCTCCAACACATTGAAATGGCTTTGAAGTGAGTTGGGGATTTTTGTGTTAGCTGGCATTTAATTTGCCAAAATGCTCATATTTGTGCTTTCATTAGCTGCAATTTAGCACTGCTAAGAGTGATACTTCTTGTCATTTTCCTCTTGAGTCCCTTTTCTTGCTTGATGATGGTTCCCTCTCACGGAGCTTCTGTTCTTTCTTTGATTTCTATTTTCTCTTTTGACAAACTTAATACATTTTTGGCAGATATGTAAACCGTGCTTTATTCCTTCTTCATTTTACTTGTGGATTGTCTCACCCAAACACTGCTGCAACATATATTAATGTGGCTATGATGGAAGAAGGCATGGGAAATGTTCATGTTGCTCTCAGATATCTACATGAAGCTCTTAAGTGCAACCAGAGGCTACTAGGAGCAGATCATATACAGGTCTCTCCTGTTTTTGTGCGTCTCTGTAACAGTATGCATATGTTCATATATCAACAAAATCATACATGTCTAATTTTCTCAAGCCTGATCATTTTGTTTGATTTCCTCCCGACAGACAGCTGCAAGCTATCATGCCATTGCCATTGCTCTTTCATTGATGGAAGCATATTCATTAAGCATGCAACATGAGCAAACTACATTCAAGATACTTAAGGCAAAACTTGGACCAGATGACCTTCGTACACAGGTAAAAACGTCAGTCATGACTGTCTATACCAATTGGCTAAGCAGTTTTGTGCACCTTTGTCCATTCGGTTAGATATGGGGTTTATTGAGATCAGAAAACGAAAAGATTGAAGTTTGAAGTGAAGCATTATTATCCTGCTGAATAACATTATTTATCTATTTATGAACTGCATTCCTTTTGCAGGATGCTGCTGCTTGGCTTGAATATTTTGAATCAAAAGCTTTAGAACAGCAAGAAGCAGCACGAAATGGAACTCCAAAGCCAGATGCGTCCATTGCAAGCAAAGGTCATCTTAGGTATTAATATGGTATTCCCAAAGTACTACTTATGCAATTATATCATTATTCCTTGCAGCATCAAAACCTGTGACCTTTTGTTGCAGTGTATCAGATCTCCTCGATTACATTAGTCCTAATCAAGATTCTAAAGGAAGTGATGTGCAGAGGAAGCAGCGGCGTGCTAAGGTACAAGATGTTTCTGGCCTTGTTGTTGTAACTCTTTAAAAAACAATCATGATATCACTGATGATTTTGTTTCAGATTATCTGATCCTCCACTTATTAGTCAAAACCAATGTTTGATTTAATAACGAGCCATATATATATCTGAGGATTTAATCTAATTGCTGGGGCCTCTTTGGATGGTAAAGAGTGGGCCAGCTAATTGAAATGGGTGGAGCGTCTCTCAGCATAGCAACTAGATCTTTTGCACTGATAAGTTCAAGTCAAATAGCCAAAGCATTTAATCTCCCAAACAATCCTCTACGAGTAGTTCAAGAGACATTTCTTTGGTGTTTACATTAATTTAAGGCCTTAACAAAACAAAGCATCATTTCTAACACCAAATTAAATGCTATAATTTTGAGCTGCCAGCACAAAATTGTGCCCTTGTCACTAATTCAATAAGATGATTTTTAAAAAATCTCCAAGAGCCAACAACAAACTTATTAGCTTGATAATTCTTTAATGGCCATCAAAACTTTTGACTGAGGTTTAACTAAGAGCTTAGAAAACTTTTCTCTTTTCTGAAGATGAGGTTGCCTTCGAAGATTTCAAGAATTTTCTTTTTCCAATCTCCTATTAGTATATCCTTCTTATTTGGTTTATTTGCTTATCTTTGCATTCCATTCTTACATATTCACTACTTCTATAGATCGGAATTTTCGCATCTCATCCTTCCTTATCCCTCTCAACATTTAACATTGACATTTTTTTTCTTTTTTAAACTTGGCAGGTGGTACAGATTATTGAAAATAAAACCCATGATACACATCACAACTTGGTAACAGATAGTGCTGTGTTCCTTGATGTCCCAGAGAAAACTATGGATACTGCAGATATTAATGAAATCAGAATGACGACTTCTATTCATCCCCAAGAACCAGAAGAAACTGATGATATTACTGGAATTGAGCCAACAGTCGCAAGTGAAGTTGTGGAAGAGACAACTTCAGATGAAGGGTGGCAAGAAGCCAATTCTAAGGGGCGGTCAGGAAATGCCACTGGAAGGAAGTTTGGAAGGAAGAAACCAGTTCTTGCAAAATTAAAGGTGAACAGTTCTGAATATGAAAATGTTAGAGAAAGCAGCACTAGGCGAGAAATTATTTCACCTGCGAGAAAAACTGCCTCCAAGAACATTGTAAAGGAGGTACTGCCAGTAAAGCAATCAAAGTCTCGTAGCTCAAGTCCTGGGGGAATTCCATTAGTTTACAAGCTTCTGCTTCCAAAGGTTTCTCCCCTTCTGCAAATCTTAGTGCCATTGCTTCAAAATCTCCTTCTTACAAAGAAGTAGCTGTAGCACCTCCAGGTACAGTTCTAAAGCCATTACATGATAAGGTAGGAGAACAAAATGAGGGAAAAACTGAACAGCAGACGTGCACCATTCCAACTGAGACAGCAAATGTGGAGGATGGAAACAATATTCCTATTGTTGATGATGTAGCAGATGATGATGATGAAACTGAAGGAACTCATGATAGTGAAAATCAATCAGAAGAAACCGCTCCTGAACTTGCTAAGGTTTCTTCTTTTAATCGGGAAAAGCCTGTAAAAACAAAGGGGAGTAAGTTATCAGCATCAGCTGAACCATTCAATCCTGGAGCACTCTACATGAATCACCAAATAAACTCTGTTGTTGTGACAAGTGGTTATGATGCAACAGCCAGTCAAGGCATGCTTGCAGAGCCTGTCGGACCTCCAGTTGCTGCTCATGTTCCTTGTGGACCAAGGTCACAATTATATTACAGAAACAGTCATTCTTACAGTATGAAACATGGCTTTCTGAGAGTCCAAACTCCTATTTTGGAACAAAGTGGATTTGGACTTCCGAGGGTTATGAACCCTCATGCAGCTGAGTTTGTACCTAGCAAAGTTTGGCAAACAACTGGAACTGCTGATTCGAGTGTCTCAGAAGAGTTAAACTCTTTGAGTGAAGTTATGAACACAGAAGTGAAGAAAGTTGATAAGAAATCCTGTAGGGAAGTAAAAGATTCTAATTTGAAAAAGAGTAGCGCTGAGGAGAAATCAGAGCTAGCGAGGCAGATTTTGCTTAGCTTCATTGTCAGGTCAGTCAAGCAGAACGTGGATCCTACGAGTGAGCCTGCAGTGAATGACAAAAGGCTCAACCATTCGGAAAATTCTTCAGATGCAGTTGCAAATGACAGTGCAATAATAAAAATTCTTTATGGAAATGAAGGGAAAGACTTGGATTCTCAATCCGGTAGCTGTGAAGAACCAAAAAAATTAGATGTGAGTAAAAAGAAAATCGGGGATGGCGAAGGCTTTATGGTAGTAAGAAAACGAAGAAGAAACAGGCAGCACTTTCGAAATGGAGTAACTGGGCTACACAATCAGCAATCGATCTGTGCTTCCGTTAGATGAAGAGATAACCTGAGCAAACCGGGGCAAATAACAAGGACAGATTTGCCTGTTTGGTCTTTCCAGTTTTACATATCTCCTTGCGTGCATATGAACCAACTAGAAATGGATGGAAAAGCAATTTAGAGAGAAATTTGGTGGAGCCGGTCTTACTTCCTCTTTATATTGAGATCCGCTTGGCATGTGCTAATAATCTCTGTAAATTGGTTCTCTTGTTTAGAAATTTTCTTTGATCAGTGAAAAGGCCAGTTGGCAATTTTCGTATTTGCTTCTATGGCTGTGAGTAGAGATGAGCTTGCATGCATTTCCCCTCCATTTTAGATATTGATTAATGCGCGCAAGCACAAATATATATATATATATATATATATTATATAGATATAGAGGAAAGTTTCACTTACAGAGTTATACATAATTATTTACTTTTAAATTAAATTGGTTAAATGTAAATATTATGAATTTAATTTTGATTAAAAATATAAAAAGTATCTTATATAAGTGGATTTATATTTATATATATGAATTAATATTTGATGCGTTGTTAATATAAAATTTTAATTACATAGGATTTAAAAAGTGATATATTTTAGATATATTTTAAAAAATAAAAAAATATAATTAAAAAGGAATATGAGACATAAGGGCTAATGATCAGTTTCTTGGCCTAATGATTAAAAAAGCTTTAAGAAAACATAAGGGCTGGAGTTCGACTTTAGCTTTCCTTTCTTTCCTTGTTGTAAGGTTCTACTCTCCTTCAAAAAAAAAAAATATTTTTAACAAATTTTAATCAATCTAATTTACCCTCTTAAATTACTTATTTATATTCAAGAAATACTATTATTTTATCTTAATATTTTGAAATTAAAATTAATTAAAAATAATATTTATTAATAAAATATTATAATTTGATTGGAATCAGATTTTAAAATTTATATCCAAACAAGACCCCAATTTAAGTGTATTAAAAAGAATATCATGTGCCCATATTACATTTATTGTATTTTACTTGGCTTTGTGATTTTGGGAATTTTAGAGCACATTGCATAAGAAACAAGCAACTCATCGTGAACGTCGATATTGAAATGGACGGTGAAGATTTAATAAAAAAATATGTAAACTGATGTCTAAATTTCATCAATTTAAAAAGGTATATCTCAATCTCATCAATTATTACTGTAATAAAGACGAATCCTATCCGTTGCATTGTCTGACAAAGGAGCCGCTTGCTTCCTGTCTCTTCTCCTCACTCTAACTCTCGCTCATTAAATCCAACGGCTCCTCAGCCCAGCTTTACCGTACAATTAATGTCATACCACTAGAGAATCCCTCCCCCGCCCTTTTCTTTTTTTTTTTTTTTGAATTTTTAATCAAATCTCTTAATCAAATTAAAGATTACCGAACAAAATTTTATTACATTTAATACTCTTCTGTCCCATGACAGACTTTATTTGTTCATATTTAACTTTTTTAATCAAATGAGTTCAACTTTAATCATTAATTTCTAAAATATTATATTGAATGAACACTTCTTAATATCTATTCTTTTTGAAAAATTTTATATTCAAATTTAAAAAATCTTATTTTTATTCTTTTTAATTTCATTATTTTATTAAAAATAATGATTAAAATTAAATTCATACTCTAAAATATCTAGTTAGTTTGAACTCGATACAGGATGAAAACTTATTAAAATAACATTGGGATTGCTTCATATAAAGCGAAATTAATTCTCTTATAAAAGAAATGAGAATTTTTTATACCCCAAAAACATGTATATTTTATTTTATTTTTTAAATATTGTTTGCTTTATCTTGAAATAATTTTTTCAAAGCATCTAATAGATAATTTTTTACTTCTTTCGGATAAATATCAAGTAATGGAATGGAAGAATCTTAATCCTAATAATATTAATTTACAAATATTCATATCCCAAAGAAACATGAAGCAGCAGCAGGCATTTCTAAATTTTTCTATTAGCTGCTTTAAAATGTAAAATATTTCTAAATTAATGAAAATAAACAAATCATTTGGAAGAAGAAGTAGCATCATAATCATGCTCACTACTTTCCTTAGGAGTATGTAAAGGAAACAAAGGCAACAGCTCAGGCTCAGCTCCTGCTCTAGGCGTATTCAAAGGACTCGGATGCAAATAAAAACCTTTCTCAGCAATGGCTTTCTCTTCTTCTTCTTCAACTAGGGACCTTGTACTCTCACTTCCCCCACGGGACCAGAAGTCCAGTGTTGAAACGGGTGAAACTAAGAACGACCCTCTTTTTCTAACAAAGAAGAAATCCGAAGGGTATTCGTTTTTGCCAATGTTGTTGTTGTTCAGCTTGATTTCGAGCTTCTTCATAGCTCGTCTACGTTCGTGGAGCTTGAAAACAGGTTTCTTGGGGCCTATGTCGGATGCAGCAGCTGGGCGAGCTGGGTGGGTGAGAGGGAGCTTTGGGGAGGAAGGGTCGTCGGAGGCGCCTGTGAGCTGTTGAACAATGGTGCGGAACGTGGAAGGGTCGGCTTGGACGAAGGTGGTGTTGGTTGAGACTGGGTCAGTAGGGTGGTGCATGGTGGTGGTGGTGGTGTTAGAAGGGGAAGCCATGACGGAGATGAAGAAAATAGTGATGTTGTGGTTGTTTTATACGGCGTTGGAAACGGAAATGAGGTGAGTTTTAAGCTTAGGCTTTGATTTGAATCGGCTTTGGCTATTGCTTTATGGGGCAATGTGTCTCTGCGGGGAGAGAAATTGTCAGACTGTAGGGGGAAGAGAGTCAGCGGGAGGAGTGTTGCGATATTAATAATAGACGGAAAATGTAAAAATTGTTGGTATTTTTTTTTTTAAATTTCAAGGCATCATGAATTTTGATTCATAATTAAATAAAATTTTTTATTTTGTTTGGTTGAAATGATAAAATAAAAAAAAAAAAAATTTATTAATTTAATAATTAAATTATAAATACAAAAATTATTATAAAATTTTAATCATTAATAAATATTTTTTCTAAAAGATAAAGAACGACAATAGTATTCCATGGGAAACACGGCATTGACCTCCAAGTACACGTTTTCATGAAGAAAAACTCAATCCCTTGAAGCTTCCTCGACCTAACCTTAAAATTAATTGATAATCACCATTATAGCCTTTTGCTTGAAAATGTAGGCCACAGGAAGGTTCTAGGGAAGATGAAAGACTTGTTCAGGGAACAAATTACATTACGCAAGATAAATATATAATTTTTATATTAATTATAAAATATTTTTTAATTATATTAATTTTAAATATATTATTTTCTTATGGTTATGGAGCTGACTCTCTCCTCTATCTACTACTTTCATGGCCTAAGAATTCAAAAGACCAAGGCAAATTTTGACTTGCATTCGATACTATACGGCGACAAACCATAAAAGAAAGGTAATAACTGGTATGGAGCCGCTCTTAAAAAGTCCAAATTCCCCGCTTAGTGAATGTCACGATAACGATGTGATTGTGATGACCAAGACAAAATGTTGCACTTGCTAGTTATTTCTTTCAAAAAGTGGAAGAGAAGACTAGGTGATCATGGGAGAGCGGTTGATTAAGGAATTAACACAAGCTGGCTACTCCCAAGTGGTTTGTTGCACGAAAGGTAATGTGACGGCAATTCAAATGAAGCATTATTACAATTAAAGACTTTTCATGCATGGCATAAACGAAGTCATCGCATGCCAATAAGGAATAGTATAAGTTATTAAAGTTTAGAATTTAAATGTAAAATATCTAAATTTAATTTTTATGATTTTTTATTGATAGATGATTTGTAAATTTAAAACATTGATTTTAGAAATAAGCTAATCTCTCTTATTTTTAAATTTTCAAAAGATTTATAAATTTTTTTATGAATTAATAATTTATCTTGGTTTTAAAGATGGAATAAATTTTTTTATTTTTAAATTTTATTCTTGAAAAAAAAAATTGATAGAGGGGCAGTCGATTAAATCGAGGATGAAGTGGCAATGAATGATGGGTCATGCAGGGTCAGCGGGGGGTCATTGAAATTTGTAACAAGAAACGATCGAGAAGACTTTGCAGTCGCAGACACTGGGCTGCTTTGCTCAGGACACCACGCCCCTCTGCGCTGCCTTGTGATTGATTCCGTGTGGATAAATTTCTTTCCCTTTCTTTGCTTTTTCCTTGTTTCGTTTGCGTGAGGGATTGGCCTTTCACATCTACGAACAAAACAAAAAAAGTTGCCACCGCACAGCTTTCTTTCGTTCGTTCAGGTTTTCCTGGCTGTGCACCTTCGTAGTTTCTTTGCTTTGCTCTGATGCTTTTGCAGTAGGTACGTTGTTTCAGAAAATCATTGGGATTTCTTTGTTGCTTTCCGTTATGCTCTTTTGGCAGTTCTTTTTTTTTTTTCTTCCTCGCTAATTTCTTGTTTATAAAATATTTTAATGTAACATATTGAAATTATTTGCTGAACACAGTCTAAACTAATTCTTTAGTTTTCTATAATTTCAACCTTTCTTGTTTAATTTCCACCTTATGTACACAGATTAAATTAGAAATGTACATTTCAATTGGAATCATAATCAATTAAATTAAAATCGTGCATGTACAATATTTACAAAAATGTACGAAATTAATGAATCGATAAAATTTGAATATTTCGTTTGTAAAATTTAAATTCAGATCTTGCTATCAATATTATCTCTTAATAGGCAATCTATATGTACAATATAAGTCATCTCTTAGACTTAGTTTTGTTTTGACCCTAGAATAAAAACATCTTCTTTCTCTAAATTTTTTATATATTATTTTAACATCATGTCATTAATATTTAAAATTATCATTGTATCATGTCTAAAGTTATTAAATATATAATATCTAAAATTAGCACCATAAGGCATCTAAAATTATCAAATGTACCCTCATGACCATCTAATCTAACATGAAATTATTAGAAATAAAACATTGGTAGCGTCTGTCATTGTAGCTGGGCAATGGCTAGCAATAGTTAAAAAAAATTTACCAATGATGCAGCTTAATAGAACCATGGGATTGTCTGTAAATCATAAAAATCAACACAGGACTAGACATTACAAGAAACAGAACAACCATCTGAGAAACGAAGAGCCAAAAAGAAAGAAGTGGAAATGATAACAAAGGAATTAACTGTTGTATCAAATAGAAAGATCGGCCAAGTCAAAAGTTCTTTCAACAGCTTTGCACCAAGAATTCACCTTCTTCTTCCTTTGTTCCTCGCTTAACGTGGGACGAAATATAGTTGAAGTTTTAATCCTTTGTCCACTAGCAAAAACCTCATCTTCTTTCCACACTCCTACGGCTAATCCAGCAGCAAATGCGGCTCCAAGCGCTGTTGTTTCTATGTCAGCTGGTCTCACCACAAGGCTCCCCAGCAAGTCCGCCTAAGAACCCCAGATTAAAAAGAAATTATATGATCACAGGAGTAAGTATGAATTGTTTAGACAGGGTCTCAACAAGGAATAACAATCATTGACTGCAACAAGCTATGTAATTGCAAGGGAGAAAAGAGAAAACAGCAGGTACATAATAGAGCCCTGACCTGAATTTGCATCAAGAGGTTGTTGACGGTGGCTCCACCATCCACTCTAAGCAAGAACTCCCCTTTTTCATTCTTAACCTTACCCGTCTCGCCTGCATCTTTGTGCATTGAATCCAATACATCTTTCACTTGAAAACACATGCTTTCAAGCACTGCTCGAGCAATATGATACCTGCTTGTAAACCTTGTGATACCAATGCAAACCCCACGGGCATCATCTCGCCACCATGGAGCAAACAATCCATTGAAAGCAGGAACAAAGTAAACCCCACCTGTGGAATCAACCTGTAATGCCAGAGTTTCAATCTCACTTGCGCTGGAAATTATCCCAAGACTGTCTCTTAGCCACTGAACTGCAGCTCCGGCGATAGCGATAGAGCCCTCTAAAGCATAATTGGTCGGTGCTGTTGGACCAAGCTTGAAAGAAAGGGTGCTTAGGAGACCGTGATTTGACTTAACTAACTCATTACCTGTGTTGAGAAGGATAAAGGCACCGGTTCCATAAGTGCTTTTGGCCTCACCCTTTCGGCAAGCTTGCCCAACCAGTGCAGCATGTTGATCACCAAGACATCCTGCAATTGGAACACCAGGAATAGGCCATCCCTTGCCAATTTTACCAATGACCTCAGAATTACTTATAATTTTGGGCAGAATTCCAGCTGGTATCCCTAGAGTTTCTAATGTAGTTTTATCCCAATCAAGGGTTTTCAGATTCATGAGCATCGTCCGTGATGCATTAGAGATATCAGTAACATGTAATCCACCATTGATACCTCCAGTTAAGTTCCAGATTAACCATGTGTCTATAGTTCCAAACAAGGCATCCCCCTTTTTAATAGCAGCTTTAACATCATCATTGTTCTCCATCAACCATAGCAGCTTCACTGCACTAAAATAATTGCTTATGGGCAAACCACATGTTTCCACAAAATGTGTTTTGCCTCCTGGAAGTTCTTTCTCCAATTTCCTAATTAAGGATCACCTCAAACATCAAAATATGGAATTCAAACTACCATAAAAGAACGGCAACTAGTGAACTACAAAACCTGGCTATTGACAGAAAACTAAAAGTATCATTCCAATAACGTAATTCATAATTACAAAAACCAAGGAATATACATCAACCCAATAATCAAGATTAAAGTTTCCAAAGAAAGGGGAGGTGGGTAGTGATTACAACTTGTAAATAATTAAGATTTTTTACACCCAATTAAAAAACAAACAATCAAACAAAAAACTGGGCACATTAAAAATAAGGAAGATTCCTGATGAAAATAAGATCATTATGTTTATTTATCCAAAAGAAATGCGAACAACTAACAAACAGGAATAACAAAGGAAATGGACAAAAAAGGATGACCTGCAAACAGAGCTGGTACGAGCATCCATCCAAACGATGGCGTTATGGAGAGGACAACCAGTTGATTTGCTCCAAAGAACAGTTGTTTCTCTTTGATTGGTCAATCCAATTGCTTTCAATCCACTGTCCACATTGAAACCATCAGCTATAGCCTTGTCGAATGCCTTGGCAATGCACAATCTCACGCTCGCCAATATCTCCATTGGATCATGCTCCACCCACCTAACACGATCCAAATTTCCAAACAATTTAAAAAAAAAAAACTCAATAAATACTCCTAAGTTTCAATCTTTATGTAATATCCATCATACCCAAGTTTTATATTGGTGCAAAAAACCTCATTATTTATTCAAAATCAAAGATTTTTTTATTTATTTATTTTTTTTATGAACATTGAATATAAGGTAACTCTTTTCCTTCCTATAAAAAAACTTCCATCTTTCTTTTCTCGGGATTCCAAGCATGAAACTTTGATTTGGACGGTCTCGAGTTTTAACCGTTGGGTATTTCTAGGGACAAAAATCAAAGAATATAAAATGGCAATGAGTTTTGGAGTAGCACCCCACTTCAGGGTAGATCTGAGTGAACTCGATTTGGTGGGATGCGATGGGGCAAGCATATTTGTCATAGATGATGAACCGGGTGTTGGTGGTGCCTTGGTCGATAGAGCCGATGAAAACTTCTTCCTGTGACATTTTCTTCTATGTTTTTTTGGGGAAGGGGCTCTTCTTCTTCTTGGTTGTTGGTCAACTTCGATGCAGAGATCAAACAGAGGAAAACAGAGTGAAGAGAGAAAAGAGGGGCGGTGGTTGCTTTGCTTCCTAGGAAAATTTTTCCTTTTTTTTTTCTTGGGAATGTGGACAGAATCACATAATTTATCCAAACATCTTCAAAATATGGTAATTTTAAAAAAATGTGATTTATTGTCTTGGATAATTTCGTTATGATTGTGAAAATTATGGATGTTCATTTAATATGCTCTTCCTTATAGAAATTTAATAATTGTTGATATCAAATATGGAAAAACTAAAACTAAGATTTGTTGGCTTTGATTTTGGATTAAGAGATGCTACTTTTGTTACTTCCATGTTTGTGGACTAATGTTATATATATTTTTTATAAAGGGATGTTCATAGTATAAGAAAATAGAAATTGTAAATGTTGGAAATTAAATTTCAATTCTTGTAAAAATTTATTTTTAAAAAATTGAATGAATTATTTAGATTAAATTTCATGTTTGAAAAATGTTAAATTTTATTTATGGAAATGAAAGTAAGGATTTTATTAGTATATCATTTCATTGTCATGATTCATGAACAAGTAAATGCCTAAAATAATCAAGCCAAATGCATCATGCATATTAATTAAAATAATTAAAGTTTCATTTGTTATATGCTTTTGCAATTAGTATTTTTTATACGAATTAATAAAAATAAAAAGTAAATAATAAAAAATAAAAGCATTTATTAAAGGTAAAAATATTTTTGAATTTATATTACTACTTTTGTTCATTTATGACTAATTGGGTTCAAACATTCAATTATAACTTCTAAAAAAAAATTATATGAAGCGAGTATCAATTTATATAATTTTTATATTTAAATTATGTTATCTGATAACAATTAATAAGATTATTAAAATAAATATTTATTATTTAATTATAATATATGATATATAATATAATTAAAATTTTAAAAATATAATTAGATAACATAATTTAAATAAAAATAACATATGTTAACGTAAAATATCTGCTTCATACAAATTTTTATCTGACAAAAAAAATAGATAAAAATTTATGAAAGGAAATACATACGTGATTTTTGGGCGGCAAGTACTAAGTACAAAATTTCTGTTGTGATGTCATCGTTCCATAGTTCATGGTTGGCAAAATGACTTGACGGATGACAGGAAGACATGTGTCGCCTTGTAGTTGCTTCAGATCAGTCATACGTTGCCTTTAAAAAAGTTGCACGCTCGTCCCGTGCAGCAGCATCTCGGACCACGTGCCGCTGCCTCTAATTGTCTCTATCTCAAGAGTAAAAACCGTTACTCTGCTCGCTTCATTAGATTTTTTCTTTCTTTTGGGTAAAATTTATTTTTCACATTTTTTTTACCTAAATAGTATCACCAAAGCATCAATGATCTAAGAACAATGATCATCTAAATGATCTCATCTCTCAATAAGGATTTTTTTTTTTAATTTCGAACCCTTGCTTTTGACATATAAAATCTGTTTGGGACCAAATTATTTATTACTGAATTAATACTTCGTTGGTTTATTCTTCACATTAATAATGCCTCTTTGTCAATTGGACAGTCCAATTAAGTTTGGCTTTAATTATTTATAATTGCGTTATTTTGGATCAAAACAAGTTTAGATTTTTTGTGAATTATTAAAGTTTACTGTTTAAATTATTCAAATTAATATATTTTAAATTTAAATTTAATTTTTATAATTAATCGATTTAAAATTAAATTGTTCAAAATATATAAGTGAACATTTTGTATATTGAACATTAGGTAGGAGCTTATTAAAAGTGTACGTGGGAGAAAACTAATTTTTGTACTGGTTAAGTGGTTATTTAATTTTGCTGATTAACTTTTTTTTTATTAGATACGATTGATCAAATCCAAATTCAAGATCATTAATTTTAAAATTGATCTTAATATCATCGAATTAATAATTTTTTATTGCTTAATTTGAATTTTTTTGGCTATTTAAATTTCGTCCATAAAAAATAGGTCTGCTGCTTCCCATTGTTTTATATTATATTTTTATTTTCTTGTTCCACTCCAATATTCTAATATGGCTCAATTTCAAATAGTATTGATTTTAATCCTTAGAATTAGAAGATCTTATTCCATGGATTTGATTCTTTTCACTTGTTTAAAGGTTAATATTATGAATGCCTAATAAAATATTTAATGTGATATTTAAATTATAGTGAAATATTTTTTTATTATATATCATCATTTAAAATTAATTACATTAAATGTGAATATTATATTAATTATTAATTAATAAATTTATAATTTAAATATCATATTAAAAATTTATAAAATTTAAATACCAGATTAAAAAATTGATAACATTAATCTCTTTTTTTATAAAAAAAATTTTCCATCTCTCAAAAAAAAATTCTGCCGTAGGCGAGTTGGCCCAAAACAATTTGGGTCAAGGTTTCAAATGTTATTGCCCAAAATGGAGAGTTTCTAGAAATTAAAGTCGAGATCCATGGACGATAGCCTTGTGGTTGGACCTATGGATTTGAACGCAATTATCCAGAAGAATCGGATTCAGAGGTGGGATGCGGAGGTACTTGGGATTAGAATGTTTCAGTGCTATCAAGTGAAACCGAATTAATATAGTGAAAATTTTAAATTAAATTCGAAATTCGTTTTGAATTTAATTAAGTTTTAGTTTAAGTTTGATTTGAGATAAATATAAAATTATTCAAGTTTATTTAATTCAGTTTGTTTATCAAGTAAAAATAATTTTAATTTTAAATTTGATTATTTATATTTAAAATTGAATTTAAATAAATATATAAAAATAAAATAATAATTTTAATTGAAAGTAATAAATATATATTAAAACATAAAACTAAAATTAAACTTATAAATTATTCAAATTATACTCATTCAATAAATCAAATCATTAAAATTTAATTTGACAATAATTAAAATAAATTTAAATTTTATTTAAATTGATTTCAAATAACTCGTGAGCACAGGGGTATAATTTATACCAACTAGACCAACCAGCATTGGAACCCTGTTTTGCTGTCCAAACCGTTTTTGGCAATTGCAATTTGCAAACCCTTCCTCCTTAGCCTTCACTCATCGCTCTTGCTGTCCTCTCCCCCTTAATAAACATTAGTAAAAAAAAAAAAAGGAAAATTTTTAAAAAAAATATATTTTTTATTTAGATAATTAAAATTAATAAAAAATAAAAATCTTAATAATTATTATTTGATTAAATAATAGAAAGAGAAAAAACTAATTTATTATATTATTTTTTCTATTATAATCTTTGATAATCTTTATTTTTACTATAATATTTATATGTTTATATTAATATATTTCATATTTTCAATTTTTTATTTTTTCATGAAAATAATTATCAATGAAATTTATAAAAATAAAAAAATAAAAAAAATAAATTTATTGATAAATAATATTTTTATTTTCTATTTAATTTTAAAATTCAAAATCATACACTTTTAATTTAAAAAAAACTAATAAAGATATAATAATCATTTTATATTTCAAAAATTTATTCTTTTTTTTCCTTTTATTCTAATTTGAGATAATTAGAAAATCAAGAAAAATTAAGTATATTTCTTATTTTTATTTATGTCATTTATATAAATAAAATTTTTTTTCATTCCTTTTCTTTCAAAGAGTGCCATAGAGGATCCCCCATGACCATAACCAGTAATAGCCCTCCCAGTCATCACCATAGTACGGATTCAATAGGTTGATGGCAATGTAAAGCACCATCAAACTCGTGTAAAAGAAACTCGAATAAAAAGTCTTTTACATACATATCCATAATATATGATATAAATAACATTTGATTTGAAGGGAACAAACTCGAATTATTGAGTAGAAATGGTTCTGTTTTTCAAGGTCCAAAGATTTAGTGAAGAAATAGAGGCCACGAAAATGTTAAGAAACAGATAATGGATTATAATAATAATAATAAAGATAAAGATTGAGTGGACGTCGAATAATTTCATAATACTAATTAATTAATTAAAATAAAATATTAATTATTATTGAATTAAAAGAAAAAAACAAAAGAAATATTATCCGATAAGGGATTTGCCGTTTGCACACCATTCAACACATCTGACGTCACCAGTCTCTGCTACTGTATATTACTGAGCTGTTCTACTCTGTTCTTAATAACATTCGACGTCACCCTTTGCACCCAATCAACGACAACAAGTAAATCTAATAATTTGTACAATTATATGATATAAAATATTATATTTAGATGATATATTATATAAAAATTATGTATTATAATATATTTTTTAATTTTATTAAATTTATTAATTAATTTTTTTTAAAATTTTAGATAATATTATTTTTACCGTGTTTTAAATTATCAATGTAATATCACCGACCCCCTACAATGCCAAAGCTTTTCCCCTATAAAAACAACGTGGCGCACCGAATCACTCCCTCGAAAGTTACTCGCATTATTGAAAATGAGTAAAATAGAATGGATTCCGACATCGATGCGTCAAAAGTACGCGCTAAAGTTACCAGGTGATTCCCTTCTCTCGTATATGCCATCACTTACCGTTTATCATCTGCAGACATAAAAT